CATCTAGGACAGTGCATTTGCCATGTGTGTAATTTACAAAGCCTTTGCTACTCCCTGGATGAGATTGCTGTCTTTGGGTCCTGATGCTGAATTATTGTGTTTAATCTGCCCCTTGAAATGATTCGTATCTGTTAGGTCTGCTTTACGTAGAGCTCTTACCCTTTTCTGGCATGAGAACATCATTTGTAATGGTTGATTAAAGGGCAGGAATGTTTTGGAGATTGAATCTGGAGATGCATCTGCATCCAACCTACTGTCTCACAGGTACTCTGTCCTCAGGTGGGCACTTAAGCCATCTCCCAGCTGCGGAAACTTGTTCCTGAGAGGCAGTGTCAGGCTGTAACAGGACTGGCAACTGGGGTCAAGCAGACTCCAGTTGGGAGCCCAATCCCTTTACTCCACAGCCTTCTTACTTTAGATAATGCCGTTAATATACTTGCGCCTGAGTTTTTTCTTCTGGAAAATGAGTGTGGGAATGCCTACCAATGTAAAACTTAGATGACATCATATACGCACGGCAATCCTGTGATGTCTAGAGCTTAGTTGGTATTTCAGGAACAAATACCTATTGGAAGGCTGAGGAACAGGAAGGGAACAAATGGGGCATCTGTATGCATGATAAGTTGGAATAATTAAGAACTAAAAATATTCCTCAACTCAGAAGTTAAGGTGTGGGCTGTCAGAATGGCTAAAGTGTAGAGCGACTACCTAAAAGTTAAGGTGTATCCTTAATATGTTGGTTGCCTTTAGAAAGCTCCCAGTTTCCCTCTAGAGATAAACCAGAATCCTTTAAATACTTTTTATCATCTTCCTTGGTACTTTTCTCTTGTACAAAGGAGGAAATTAGGACCACTATACTGAAATCATGGGAAGAGTAAAGCTGAGTCCAGGAAATACGGGGAGAGCAAGGAGTGGTCTCCCCAGACCCCTAACAGGTTAATTCTTTTAGTTCAGGCATTTCTGGTTTTAAGAAGTTTATAGATAGAAACTCAAGTATAATGTGTATGTGTAAGTTCAGTGCATTAGCTAATATTTTTAAAAAACCTATAAAAGTATTCAGATATACATTACATAAAGCTGCTTCAGATGGATACTACTAAGTAAGACCACATTCAAACATCCAACTTTTGAAGTTTCAAGAGCAAAGACGCACTTTCTATTCCTGTGCCTCAGGATGTTCTGTTAACCAGGCTGTTGACTATGGGGCAACAAAAGTTTACATGGCTGAGGGATAGAAAAAATTTAAAACAACCAGTTTGCCTACTTTAAGTCTTAAATTCAGTTTTGTTTCTCTCTCATAATTCTTACCTTTTTTCCTCTCTCATTACTTCTCACCTTCTGTACCTACCATTTTCTCTTGATGTCCCTCTTTCTCCTTAACTTTCCTCCCCCAAGACTATTTTCCACAAACACTGTACATGGGCATAGGTGGGGGCGGGTGACACAGATGTCTTAAGTGTTGGCACACCCACTTTCTGACCAGGCTGGCTCTGCTGCTGCATGCTACAGTGCTACACCCGGCTGTTTGCTTTCTGCCTTGGCCATCTTTGCTCTTTCGTGTGGTATTTGCTCTGCGCTTCTTAACATAAGGAGGGAGCAGCTCTACCTATACCTATTGTTAGAAATCCTTGGAAAAGCCTGGCAAGTACAACCCCTGTTGCTTCTCTGTGGACTCTTAAAGGGAGTTGTCCTTTTTTGAAAGATAAGCATTAACTTGTACTTCCTTGATTCCCATTCACAAACTGGGACTCCATCCCACTACCTCCTTAAAGCTATTATTGACTTCGTGCTTGTCGAGTCATCACGGTTGACCTCTCGCGATGATTCTGTGCACTTCCACCTTCACTCCCTCTTGTTCCTTCTCACCATTTCCCCTGCTGGGCATTGCTGGGGTGCTAAGACAGCGAGGTGGTACAGACAGTTTAGGAGCTGGTTTTGGATCCACCTGCCTGGATCTCTGTCCAGCTCTGCTGGTTGAGTGATGTGCGCCAAGGGCGAGGGTTTATTTCCCTTGTGCTTCAGTTTTCTTGTTTCTTGTTTTCCATCATCAGGTGATGTGAGTCTAACAGTACCTGCCTCGGAGATGCGCTGAGAACAAGAAAGGCAATGTCCTTGTAAGGTGCCAAGCTAGGTGCCTGGCACACCGCAGGTGCCAGGGTCTTGGGAGGTCCTCGTTAACTTCTGGGCCAGGGTTTACTAGTCAGGGCAACCCACACATGAAATGCCTTGTTTTTGTGGAGTCAGGAAGTATGGGGGTGGCTACAGAAGACTTAAAAATCTCAGGCCAGAAGTACTATTTTCTACGGGACGGAGGCAATGCTTTCTCCTGAGGGCCACAGAAGCCTGAGTCTGAGTCAGGTCCCCAGCCCAGCTGCTTGCCAGCCGTGTGACTAACTCCATGTAGGACTCATCTTTCTGCTTCTCGGCCTCTTTACCTCTAGCACTTTATAGCCTCCTGGGAGTATTAGTGAGATAGTGTGTCCAGTGTGCTTTGCATTTCTGCCTGGTATCAGCACTGCTGCATCTGTCTCTGCTGCAGCCAGTTACACCACTACCGTTGTCACCAGCCAGCAGCCCCAGTCCCTCTGTGCCCTGCTGTTAACCAATCTAGCTCTTGGACATTCATATCCAAACATATCCAAGACTGCTGTGCACCATTAGTCTTTGGTTTTTTGAGACAGGATCTCATTATGTAGCCCAGGCTGTCCTAGAACTCATGATCCTTCTGTGTTAGCCTTCTGAGTGCTGGGATTATAGGAGTGAACTGTCACACCTGGCTTGTGACTCAGTCTTGATGGCATTGGGAACCCTAAGGAACATTCAGTGTTGTGCATTTTGCTGTTGTTTGTTTTTTGGCAATACTAGGGCTTGAACTCAGGGCTTTGTACTTACTAGGCAGGCATTCTACCCCTCGAGCCATGCCTCCATACCTTTTTTGTTCTGGTTATTTTGGAGATAGGTTGTCACTTTTTGCCCAGGTTGGCCTGGGCTGTCATTTTCCTGTTTTACACTTCCTGCCATAGCTGTGATGGCAGGCATGTACCACCATGCCCAACTTTTTTCTGTTGATGTAAGGTCTTTTGAACTTTTTTGCCTAGGTTGAGCTGGAACCATCATCCTGATCTCAGCCTCCTTTGTAGCTGGGTTGACAGGTGTGTGACACTGCACCCAGCTATTGGTGGAGATAGGGTCTTGCTAGCCTTTTGCCTGTACTGGCCTCAAATTGTGATCCTCCCAATCTCTGCCTCCCAAGTAGCTAGGATTATAGGCAGGAGATTAAAAGCACCAGGTATAGGTTGCAGTACCAAATGCAGATTGATAATTAACAAAGCTGACCTAGAGGTAGCTACTTAGAACTCAATGTCAGTGTCTTTGTGCAGTGTGCTCTGTAGAGGGTTTACTGAAGCCTCTAGCAGTAGTGATGATTTCATTATTTTGAAAGTAAAAATCAGATATCAAGAGTACTTTTTAAATAAGATGATACAATTACAAATTCACACACTCAAGACAATAGTGGAGCTAAAGCATGTTGTCAGAAATTTAAAATTGAAATGTTGCTGGACATAGCCCCTAGCTGCACAGGCATTGTTTAGTGACCCTGCTTCTGTCATAGTCATCCACTAGTGAACACAACAACCCCCCCTTGCCCCGCCGCCGCAGTGTGCACACTAAGAGAGCCACCAGAGAGAGCTACAGCTTTCATTGCAAGAAGTTGCTGAGAATTAGTACATAAAAGTAAGATCCATTTGATTTTGTTGAATGTTTATTGATTGTACAGTGAGACATATGGATAGGTTATTTAAAGAGAAGGTGCTTATTTGAGCCAGTGATTACAGCATGATGTAAAGATAGCAGTTGAGGTGTGAGACTGTACCGAGGAGGGAAGATCGGGTTCGAGGTGGCCAGGTGGGATTCCATGCAATAGTGATGGCAACTTAGGATGTCTCAGAGAAGTAGGAGTTTTTCCTGATGAGTCAGAGGGAGGTTTACATGAACCGTGGCACTGAGGCAAAAGCCTGGCATGTTCTGACAGTTGCAAGTGTATTTAAGGCACAAAAGAGCAGCAAGTGGATGATTCCACACAGGTAGGTGAGCGCTAGGGTCTCTGGGTTTTTGAGGCCATGGGGGAAGTCCTGGGCTTCACCTTGGAGCAGCAGTGTTGGAGCCAGGAGCACATTTACAGACCATAGTACCTCTTTTGTGTTTCTTTCTAGAAAACACAAGTTAGCATCCGTGTTTCCAGAAAATCATATTTCAGGTTTTTTTTTTTTAAACCCACAAAAGAATCTGGGAAGAAATTTGGGGGGTAAAAAGGCTAAGTGGACTTTAAAAAGTCTCCCAGTGTGAGTATTACTGATCGTGGGTTGGCAGTTACATCACTCATATGTACCGAGAAGAACACCTTCTGTAGTCTGTGGTGACTACTTTGAAAGATACCACGAAAATATGACGTCTGTCTATCAAGAATCTTAACCATCTTTGGGAGATGTGGTCAGGAATGACAGATGACAAGTAAAGGGAAGTCTGCAACAAGGGCCCAACCATACACCCAGATCGTGGCTGGAAAAGCAGGGGTATAGACACTGGCTGAGTGACACTGCATTCCCCCTCCCGAATTGTACATACTTAGTAGTGTTGCTTGTGCCTCTTGTGGTGTCCTGTTGGAAAGTAGAAGACGCCTTTGTCACAGCAAGGAGAAAGCCCCCCCCCCAAGACTTCAGAGGTCTTTTTGACCCACTGTGGGTCCTTAGACTCTTCCTCCTGGTACCCCTCCTAGCCTGTCTTGGACTTCGGAAGTTTAGGTTTTGTCCATTTGTTTATGGCTGCAAGTGTCAATATTTTTGGGGGGTTGCCTATAAAAGCATGTGTGTATGAAATGTGCGCGTGAAGGAGATGATAGAGGGAAGACTTTAGCCATGTATATTTCCCTTACTCTTCTCCACTGTTAGGTGAATGCTAGTGAAAAGAGATTTCTAGAGATGACCTCTAGTGGCCGTCTGCTTTCTGTTGTATTCTTGTAAATGTTAGTTTATTCTGCTTATACATAAATCTGTGTGGTTGGATTTATATAATCTTTTCTGTGAAACTTGGTTTTAAAATTGAAAAAAAAATCTTTTCTGTGCACTAAGATTATAAAATGTAAGAAAGCACTTGTTCCTCTCTTTTTTCTTTTACTGCTTAAATTTGATTTCCACATACATTTTATCACTAAGTAGAAGCTAGCCATGTGTCTAGTTTCAGCCTAGGGTGAAGTTGTCTGTTTGACTACTCTGATGCTCTTGGCTTGATGCTGGGGTCCTTCTCCCTCTCATGCATGGTAGCCTTTCTGTGAATTTTTTGCATAAGAAGATGTAGATTAAGGGATCTAAGCAGATGTTAGTTGCTGCTAAGAAGAGAGTTGTTTCTTTAGTGATGAACAGCTGGTTTTCCAGCTTACAGTTGGTCTTATTGTGGGTCTGACTGTGAGTGTATGGAACCCGGGCAAAATGAAATGGGGCAAAACACACGAAGAAGACGGCCACGACAACAAACACTTTCCCCTCCAACCTTTTGTGGCTTTTGTGGTCCTTACTCCTGAACTTTTTATAAGAGCTGTATACTTTCCTTGCAATCACCACATAAAAAAGGAGCATTAGGACAAAAACAGTCCAGAAAATGAACTGGCTTATGTAATTTACCACTCGGTGCCATTTCAGCCCCAGAGGGCCCTTTAAGGACGCACACTTTCTCACGGACACCGGCGTTGCTTCCCTGTTGTTCAAGATCATGTTTGGCAGGGAGATGAGGAACAAGACGAGCCAGACGAGGATGGAAACCATTTTTGCAAAAGCAGGTTTTTTCACAAAGCTTTTCCCAAAAGGTCTGATGATCTTGAGGAATCTGTCAAAGGCTATGAGGCCCAGCAGCACCATGCCTACGTACATGGTCTCATAAAAGACCACAGAAGAGAAGCGACACACAAAGGCTCTGAGTTGCCAGGGTCCGAGGTGTGAATCGGAGAGGATTTTGAAGGGAAGCATGAGTGTCATTATCAAGTCGGCCACCAGAGTGTTTTTGAGGTAGATGATGAAGGTGGAGGAGCTGGGAACATGAAGGAATGCCCATAGGGCCACAGCATTCAGCAGGAAGCCAGTCAGGAAGACTGCGGTGTAGAGCACGGGGAACACCAGCTGCGTTATCCGCGTGTCTCTGGGGCACCGCTCAGACCCATTGAAGCCCTGCATCACCCTGGCGTTGTTTCTAGATCAGCTGTGATAAACATGTATGCAAATACTGTTAAATACATGTGTGATCATACATACACATACATATATAGTGAGAGAAGGAACAAGATTGCATCAGTGGATCTGTCTGAGGGGACAACAGGAGGGGAGAGGGAAAGAAAACATTAGAGAAGGAAAAATACTGAATCAGCCCATCTGTACATGAGCATAGTATAACATAGTGCACTGCAAGCTGTTGAATATTAGGGGAGCGTGGCGATGGAGAGTGAGTAAAGTAATGGGAGCACAAATTTGGTTAAAGCAGATATATACAGGCCTGAAGTGCCAAGGTGAAACCCTCTTGGACTACCAACGTACACTTAAAACAATGAAGAGCAGGAGGAAGACAGGTCTTTTCTGTGGGTGGGCACCAGTGGGAGGAGGGTGGACATAAAGAAAGGGTGAATATGGTGGATGTATTTTGAATTCATGTATGAGAATAGAAGACTGAAGCCTGTTGAAATTGTTCTAAGAATTAGGGCAGATGAGGGAGGAGGGAAAACGATGGAAGGGGTGAACCTAAGATATATGGTAAGCACATATGTAAATATGACAGTGTACCCCTGTACAACTATTACATGCTAATGAAAAAAATCACCTTGAGTATCATAGCACACTAAAATCTGCATTTATTCAATACACTCGGTGCATTTGTTGAGAAAGGCACACATTTCTGGCTAGAATTTTTAAAGCATATAATACATTTTTGGTACTTCCAACAGTACCGTTGACTTTACATCCTTGTTAAACTCACATATCAGGCTTCACCTTATTCATAAGTGCCACTTTTAACATGGAAGCAAAACAAAACCCCATTTAAGAGATAATGAAGAATGTTGTACATTGTGTAATTTCTTACACTCTAAGCTATGGTTTGTTGAATATTAAGCTTAAAGCACTTTTTCTCCCCCTAGCTATACTCCACTGTTTTCTTTCTTTCTTTCTTTCTTTCTTTTGGTGGGACTGGGGTTTGACTCAGGACTTTATGCCACACACATGAGCCACACCTCCAGTCCATTTTCCTGTGTTTTTGGAGATGGGGTTTTGTAAACTCTTTGCCCAAGCTGTCCTCAAAGCCTGATCCTCCCAATCTCAACCTCCCAAGTAGCAAAGATTACAGGCTTGACTCACCGGTTCCCATCTACTATTCCACCTTTTTATACACGAGCACATTCATAAGAAAATTGAAATTCACCTTTGTTTTGGAGGATCTCAGTTCTGTGTCTTCTGAATGTGGCTGTCTTCGCTCAGCCCGCAAAGAGCTCGTGAAGCAAATGTTGTGCTTTCTTATTCTGCATTTCCTTCCTCTTTCTCACTGTGTACTTCTGTTGCCTATCAGAACCTCTTCACATTCAGTCCTTTAGGGGACCTGTTAATACATTCTTTTAGTTCAGACTCATCAACTGGTAATCTGTGCCACAAGTAAGTGAAGTTTGTTGCAGTTAATTTTACATTTTCTCATAACTGTGTTGAATTTTATCTTCTCAATGTATTTGTTAACCGAGTTTTTTCAGTGTTTTTTGCATGTAATAATAGGAGGTAGAAAGATGAAGACAGTAGTCCCCAACTACACCACAGTGGGCAAGTCAGACTTGATCTTCCGTCAGATTAAATCATATGTTCTGTCCTCATAGATGGGCTTTTCTAGTAATTTGAGTTCAGAAGGATGTGGAATTTATTTCTGTACACACCTGCCTTAGTCTTGATTCCTGAGTCAGTTTTGTAAGAGGCAGAGACTCTCAGCTCTAAAGTTTGGGTTAGAATTCAGATCCATAGTCATTTGATATTAGACTGTAGGCTCGTGATTTAAAACCTGTGTGTGTTGGTCTTCTCATTGGTGGAATGAGCTGAGAAGTAGGATCTCGATCTCCCTCCTACCATTGAAAGGCTGAACAGATTGCCTGGAGCCATGCACTAAAGGCACCGAAACCATTAGCACTGTTTCACTTCTGGATGCAGCCCTGGGTCTCAAGTCTGTGAAGTTTTCCCTTTAAGTCTCTGAGAGCATAGGGAAAGTTGTTGTGAGAGTGGAGTGCCCTGTAGACAGGTAAAGGGGAAGAGGAAACTCGGGGATGTTGCAGCGGATGTGGGATTCTTCTTGGGAGTTTCATTTCACCTTGGTTCGCACAAGTTCTACCATAGAGTTGGCCGAGACCGCAGAGAAGTTTGGATGGTTTGGCCTGGATTCTGAGAATAGACGTTCCATCCCTCTCTCGGCATTTTAAAATACAAGACAGTACACTGCCTTAATAATTTGGACTGGCTCTGCCTAGTGTGTGGCACAGTTTGAAAAGTTTCTGTCTGCCTCAAACCTAGTAATCCTTGGGAATACAGATTCAAGCGTTCACTAATGGAATGGAACATAATTTGAAAACATCTTTTTGTTTGCTTTAGCAGAGAATAAAAACTAAGCAAACATTTTTATTTTTTAAAGTAGAAAGTTTTGGCCTATATAATGAATTATGAATATTCCTGTAGTCCCAAGTCCATTTTCTAGATGAAAGTTTGGAATAGTTTCACTTTAAGCAAGGGAATTTCTGTACAGTATAATTTCATAATATGGAAACAGGAAATCACATTTTAGTTGAATTTCAAAATGCCAGAGTGTGGGAAACTTTGAAAAGAGGAACTGATTAGTGGTGCCCATTTCGAGAGCCACAGAAGTGCATTCCTTTACGTGTGCTTGGCCTTGGTGAGTACTCCCACCCCAACAGGGCCATGTCCAGCAGGAGTCTTTGCCCTGGGCATCTCTGAGAAGCCTCAGAGTCCTGCCTCCAAGCCCAGAACCTTCTCCACCTCCTGCTTCGCTCCTGGCTTTGAGCAAGTTACTTGTCCTCTCCTTGACATGGCTGCCTTCCATTTACAGTGAAAACAAATAATATCTGCCTCATAGGGTAAAGAGAATAAAATGAGTGAAAATTCACCAAACATTCAGAATAATACCTCATGTGATAAGTATTGTGAGATTCTTGTTAAGTAAAACTAAAGAGATTGGAGTACCCCACACACTGGTGGGAATAGCTCAGGAAAGACGGAGGGAAGACTCAAGGTGCAACAAAAGGTCCAAGAAATGAAGAGCCTGACCAATGGAATAAGCTAAAGATGTGAAATCCTATTGCACTTGAAGGAAATTTGGTTAAAGTCATAAAAGTCACGCTGGCTACACTGTTGTAAGCAATCATTGCCTTAATCCTTGCAACAGTCCTCAGAGAGCTGTCCTGTTCAGAGATGAGAAAACAGAAACACAGACGTTAAGCAGTTGTCCCAAGGTCTCTGTGAGCCAGGAAGGCCGGATCCAGAGGAACCAGCTTTACTTTCGGCCTCCTGGGAGCCATCATTCCCCATACCATGGAGTTCTTAGCAGGGAGTTGCCAGTGGTGCATGAGAAAGAATCATGTGCTACGGAGTTTAATGGATGTGTAAAACTTTCTGCCACCAAGTCATCTGTGAGGTTGAAAACATAAATTGTCAAAGCATTGTGATGAGGTCAAATGACACACAGCAGCAGGAGGTCACAGAAGTAGGCAGCCAAGTGGGAATGATGGTTGCTTTCCCTTCCATCTCCTTTGGGTTGTCTCCATGGGCTCAGGTGACAGTGAAAGAGTTCCTGTTGCCGTGAGTGCCCAGTGTCAATAACATCTGACAGTTGAATTTGCTTTCATTTGGGATGAAAGTTGAAGTGAGAGCTTCTGTGTTCCTAGAAGAGACTTTTAATTCCCACCAAAGTGTGCCATGGTACTTTCCTCAGGTTATGTGAAATTGTTTAAAAAATCCCATACTGGGGTAACCAGAAGTGATAATAAGCTAAAACAAGCTACATAAGTAAATGTCATCATCTGTTTTTATAAATGAAATCACTATTCAAATATCTCTACACTAGAAAGAGACAATAAAGATTGTCTGTAAGGAATGCTGTGGGTCACATCTGCATTCCCAGCTACTTGAGAGGCAGAGATAGGAGGATTGTGGTTTGAGGCCAGCTTAAACAAACAAACAAACAAAAAAACCATGATCACAAATCTCAAAAAATAAGCCAGGTGTGTGTGTGTGGGGGGTGGTACACACCTGTAATCCCAGATACACTGGAGGCACAGGTAGGAGAATCACGATCTGAGATCAGCCCCAGACAAAAGTGAGACCCTATCAGAAAAATAATTAAGTCTACAAGGGCTGCAGCATGGCTCAAGTGGTAGAGCGCTCTCCTAGCAAGCATGACACCCTGAGTTCAAACCCAGTCCCGCCCCTCAAAAGAGACAGACAGTACATTCACAGTATTATTTGAAGCACTTAATATTTAGTTCTCAATTTTTTTCTATAAAAGGAAAGATGCTTTATTGATCAAATGCAGTGTGTGTGTGAGGAGGAAATGAAAATGCAATAGCAATGCATGTGCATCCTTGTACTTCTGCATTTACTTGCACACTGGATCCTTGTACGTACAGGCTAATCTAGTTTTAGAAAGAATACATGTCTGTCATAAGTCTAGTTACATCATGTCATGGATTCCTTGTGCACACAAACCTAACACAGTGAAGGGGCTTCTATGAGCATTCCCTTCATTCCCTTTCCCGGTGAAAACAGTGCTTCAGAGCACGTAGGCTAATACCCTAGCATTTGTTTCCATGTCTGTGTGGCACTTTTCCTAGAAGTATCAGAATGTCGGATGTTACTTTCAAAGGGATTTCTAGGAAAAGTGTACCAACTTAAGTCTATTAAGGGTAATTTTCTAATACCATCATTAAAATATTTCAAGTCAACTGGAAACTACTGGTGAAACTACTGTCTTTGAATAAAGAAACCCCAAAGTGTGGTTCAGTTTGATGTGAATTTTCATGTTTTATGTACAAGCCTATAAAACATTCTTAATTCCAAATGCAGTTCTTTTATAAAAGCACTGTGATGCCACTCGCATTTGTTTTTCCCGTCTCTGGTGGTAAAGTGTGCATTAGTACAGTGCAGAAGGCACTGCTCAGGCAGTCTCTGTCCACCCTGCCACCTCCTTGCCCCAAATCAGACTTGCCTGGCCCTGCAAGCAAGGTGTGAGTTTTACTCCACTCTCCACCCTGACTCAGATGGGTTGAGGGGAGTACCCTTCATTGGTCTTCTGTGCGAAGGAAGGAGGTCTGATGAATCTAGTTGCTGTCTTGATTTTCTCCCAGTGTCTGGGATTCTTACAGAACACGCAGATGTGCACATCTGACGTTAGAGGGAACCTGAGCGGCAGATGTGACTGCAGCTGTTTGTTGGCAGGAGGAGGACCAGGCACAAGTGGAATGCAGTCTGTGCATCTCCTCCATGTCCAGTGCCAGAGAAGGATGAGAGGATGGGCATCCACCTGAGCGCACACACACACACACAGGTTTACACGAAGCTTACCCAGGCGGAAGGTGGTGGGTGAGGATGATACGCTGAAGTCCAGCAAGCTTCTCTATGTTACAGCCTGTCTTTTGATTTCTTCTGACATTATGTTTAGATATTGGTGTCTGTGCCATCTTTTGTTTGAAAGCCGTCTCTGAGGATCTTAAGTAATTGAAGTAAGTGATGTGACCTTGCACATGCTCTATGTTTTTTGTATTAAAATACCAAATATTACCCTAATCTGTGCATTACTCATTGTACATATTGAACTGTCCCAGCATATCCTAGGAATATATACCTTTACAACATCCCAGTTAAGAATTAAAATACATTTAAAATATCAAATATAACTCATGTGAAATCAAACTACAGGTCTGCCCTGTTTTATCATTTGCATGAAAGCCTAATGAGGTGACCTGTCGTCTTCAGAATGACTTCACACAGTAACATGTTATAGAACAGTATTGACTGCCATTCTTTCTTACATGAGTTTGATACTTGAGGTAGTCATATGGTGAGCCATGGAATCTGGTGTCTTTGAATAAAGAAATTCCAACAAAGTGATACAGAATAAATGTAAAAACTTTTTATTATACATACAAACAGTGACTCCAGACAGTTCATTCGCTTTCCTCTTAGTTGCCATGCTGTGCGACTTTGTGGTCATACATTTAATTCACCTTTCTTACTAGGGGGAACTGTTTGTTAACTCAGGTAGCAGATATTTTCAGAAGCTGGTTAATGAAGGTAAGTGTCAATGACAGTATTGCATCCATTGAGGTTGTCAAAATGTTAGTGAAACTGCCTTTTCTAGTATTAAGGAAGTATTAATAGCTTTTAGCATTAGGATGTCATAAGGCAACTCCTTACTTTAACAATTTAACTCACTATTTCTGCTCTTTATAAATTTCTATCGTTTTAATGATATCTGTGAGGTTTTTGCTAATAATAGAAAATTATTGCTTGGTGTATCCCAAGAATAATATCCCACTTAAACGTTTATGAATATCACAATTGGTCAGGGCTTGGTTAGGCAACTAGAATGTATGTATATCTTAGTATTGTTTGTGATCAGAAAATTATATCAGATTGGTCATTCTTTTTCAGCTGATTCTAAAAGACTAAGATTATGATTAATGGTGTCCTTAAAACATTACGGTAGATAGTCCATGGTTGTCCATTTTGCAAACACTCTGAATTGTGAATTCTGTGTAGGTTTGCCTCAGCATAGTGATTGGATGTGGTTTCGTTTTGCCACACACCTGTAAGTTGTTTTTCTGCATTTTAAGATAGCTAGCTTTCTGTACTGGAAAATCATTTTGTAGATGTATCTTACTTGTTTTGAGAGCCTTTGTAATTAACTAGGGTACTTCTTAGGGTTGATATCTTTATAAGTGCTCTCCTTCAGGGGTCCCAGCACCAGCAGATAGCAGCAGGTCCTGGGTCCTTTCTCACATGGCTGTCTCCTCACTCAGGTCCCCACCACCCTGCCCTTTCTTCCTGCTCTCTCGGGATGCAGGTGCTGCAGTGCTGTGGCACTTCAGCAAGCCTATCAAGGAGTTTCTGAAAGACTTGCAGAGGAAGAAGTAGATGAAGGGGTCCAGGCACGCATTCAGGGATGTCAGCCACAGTGTGCTCTCTTTCACGTAGAACAGCGTGTTTTCGGCAGTGCAGTCAAAGACATCCCGGGTCTGGCTCAGGGTGTAGGGGATTCGGGCAAAATGAAAAGGAACAAAGCAAGTAAAGAACACGGCGATGATGATAAAAACTTTGACATTCACCTTTTTGCTGGGGACTTTCCCTACACCCCTTGTTCTTACATAGGACTTATAGAGTTCTTTTGCAATGAGGGTGTAACACACAATGACAATTAAAAAATTAATCCAGAAAATGACTTGACAGATGTAGTTGACTATTTCATGCCAGACAAGTCCAAACTCTGACTTGAAGAAAGAACATTTCTTCACGTTCGTGTCTCTTGGTCTCTTGTTGGTGAGAATCATGTTGGGCAGGGAGAGTAAGAACATGAAGGCCCAGATGACCACGGACAGGATCTTAGCCCCCAGGAGACTGCTGGCGTTGGAGATTTTAAATGGCCTGGTGGTCTTCTGGTATCGGTCAATAGTTATCAGTCCTAGGAAGGAGATGCTGATATACATTGTGAAATAGAATACCACGGAGGTCACTTGGCACACAAAGGTTCTCAGAGGCCCAGGTGCCAGTTTGGCATCACTGAGAATCTTGAATGGAAAAGTCAGAATCATAAGAAGATCTGAAATGACTGTGTTCTTAAGAAAAATAATGAAGTTGGATTTGCTGCGGATCTGGAAGAAAACTGTCATGGCCAGGCTGTTTGTGACAATGCCAACAAAGAGCAGGACGGTGTAGAGCAGCGGGAAGAGCACCCGCACAATCTGGTCATCCCGCTCGCACTGGCTGCTGTTCCCCGGTGCAGAGGTGACATTGTCAGCGCCGTGCATTTCCTCTGCTGCCTAGACAGGGAAAGGGGGTAGTTTTAGTCCCAGGTTGTTGATTTTGCTGTGGTCTCTGTGTAACTTTTTTGGATACAACCTCCCCTAAAAAGTGACATTCTCATCTTTATTATGGCAGTTAGAGTTAGTAGCACCAGTAGAAAACTGAATCCCATAGTGTATCATCTTAGCAAACGAAATGACCTGAAGCCCATTGTCCCATGCTAGAGATGCGGTGCCTCTCGTTTACTGGATGCCTGCGTCCACAGCACACTCATCTTGGTCCAAGCCCACCTAGGATTACACAGGAGACAAGTATGGTGGTGTGGTAGTCTTCACTGTCCTGTCCCACCCTTATTCCTAGCTTCATTTACTCTAATGTCATCAAAGGGGAAATGATGGGCAATTGTCCATTAGAATTTTAAATTAATAATTGAAATCACTCTTGGGAAATGTGTTAAATAAATGAAATACTGAATCATAGAAAAATAGTAGCCAAAACATCTCCCTGTATATTGGAAGGTGTTCCTACCTCTATATTGCTCAGCCATCCACTCAAACATTGGCCTCCCAGAGATTCCTTACTTAGCTCCAAATATTTTTAACCCATGTTTCATTTCCAGTGTTTTCCCTGAACTTGACATTTTATACACATTTTCTTGAGTATCATTCAGTGTAAACGCAAGCTATTACCGCAGTGGCCAAAGGTAAAGAAAAGGAAGGTGACTTTTGAATATGCCATCTGACATCTAAGTCTTGAAACTTGAGAGGAAATTTATGATTTTCTTATTTCATCCAATACAAGTAAAATTGATTCTATGTAAGTATTATTCCTTATATTCAGACAGTCATGCTAAAAGTATAAGGATCTACAAAGTATATGGGAAATTCATTTTTGTCATCCTTTACTTATAGAAAATAAAACAAGTCATCACAGGTATGGCTTACATTTCCAGCCTTACCCTCCGTACTTTCCAAGCCCCTGCATCGTGACACAGGACCCCTGCTTCTAACCTTCTTTGCTGCACTGTCCATCTGGACAACTCTACTTTGTGACTGTTCATTTTGCACAGACAGTAAATTATTTAACAAGTACTTATGACAGTTAGAATTTCAGCTTCCTTCACCAATATTTAAATCTCATTTTTGCACTCCTGCTATAATGAGTAAAATCATTTGTATTTCACACCCATGCTTTGCATGTATTTTAGTGAAGAGGTTAATTAATCACTGTCTCTTGACAGCATTCATGTGACTTGTATTTCAATTTTTACTCCTAAATGCTGTTCTTAAGATTTTCAGTTTTCAGAAAAAGTTGGAAAAAGTTACACATACACATCATTGCATAAATGCATATGTCACATATGACAGGACGTTACCTGGTTGCTGTGGATGCTGAAGGATTTGAATGTCTCCAGGAATAGCAGTTGGTACAGCTTGCAGACTGGCACCTCCTGTTTTCTTCTCAGTGTCTTGGTTTAGCTGCCAAGCCTTTTTGTGAGAGAGAATTGCCAAGTTTTCATCAGTGAAGTCTTGAGTGTTCTAGAGGGAGGCGCAAGGATGGGGGCGGGGGAGAGGAAGAGAGCACTTCACAGTCAGGGGTTATCTTAGCATTGTGGACTAAACACTTTGCAGACACTGACTTTCCATCTGTCTGCCTCCAGGACTTCTGCTTTTATTTCCTAGGAAACGGGACCACGGTGGCTGAGAAGTCATTTTTTCAAAAGCAATTTGAGATTTTGTGGCTTTCTACTGAAATCTGCCCTTGAGTTGATGATTTATGACTTGGAGTTCTTTTGGTTATTTTCCATGCAAATGTTAAGTCTAAGTTGAGGTCAGGCCTTTTGAAGTTGGCTCCTAGAGAAGGTGGCAAGACAGGCTTGCTCTCTCTGGGATGGTTTTCCACCTGAAAACAGTCCTGCTCAATGCTGAATGATGCATTACGTCCAACAAGTAATTACATTAAATCAAAACGGGTGGTGGCCTGGGATGTTAAACCTCTAGCTCTTATTTCTTTCCTGGTTAATATCATTATTTTAAATCTGTGTTTGATTAACTCCTTTGTAGGCAAAACAGTTTCTTCCCATTATAAATGATCAGATTCCAAAATTAGATTAGAAAGAAAAGCAGTTTATTTCCAGGAGAGTTGTATAAAGCACCATTCATGGTTTTCTTGAGTAGATCTTAAACACAAAAGGTTCCGGTTTTGCTGTCTTTTTGCCTAGCGTTGGATTTGGGAGAAATAATATTAAACTAAAAAGTCATCTTTGGGGTCACTATCATAAACCGTTCTTTAACTTTTAAACCAAAAATGTAAAGATTGTGGTAGGAATGAAAGGGAGGGTAAAACGCGTTTCTGCTTTAGCCTTATGCAAACACTGCTGCTTGGGCTCCTGCAGATAAACCACGTTCACCCACAGGCACAGCATCTCCCACTGCACTCCCTGCTGTTAGCAGCAGGCTATTTGTGCCTTCACTACGAGCACACGTTTTGGTTGTTTCTTCTGAGTTTTGAGTCTGTGTCTGTATTTTCCTTTGTTAAACATCTTTCACAATGGTTCTCAAAGTCCAGAACAGCAACTCACTGAAACCTGGAAACCGCCAAGAAACGTGCATTCTTGGGCCCCAGCCTTGATCCCACAAATCAGAGAGACTGCCTTCCCCAGGCCCCCATTTGTGTCTTAATGAGCCTTCCCTGTAATGCTCAGGCCACCCTAAAGTTGAGGACCACTGATTTAAATGGACAGAGTTTTATTGCCATAAATAACCAGCATTTGATTTCTTATACTGTCATGAATTAACTAATGTTATCATCCCAACTACTCTCTGAAGAGAATACTCATTTTATCCCCCTTGTTTGGATGAGGGGAGCTGAGGAGTACAGCAGTCAGGTTCATTGAGACCCCATTCCAATCTGGTTCATTGGCGAGATGGTGCATTCAGTCCAAGAGCAGCAGGTGGGGAGCCTTAAAGAGACAGTTTTCTCCTCTAGGGTCTCCCACAGATCCTTTTCCCTATCCAGCAACCCTATCCTTCAGGAAATGGGCAGTAGACAGAATAACGTTTTGGTGCTTATATCAGGTCATTAATATTACTTACAAACTGGGCAGCTCAAGGATGTTTAAATACCTAGATAAAAGAGTAGAAACATTTCCATAGGTTGACCTGCTTCTCATCTTGTGAAAATTGCTAATGGAAGACTTGTATATTTTCTACTTGTACAAAAAGTTGATGTAAACAAATTTTGCAGGCTATTGAAAACCAATGGCTTTAAAATGTGCCCACACATTTTAAACAGTTACCATGATTTCCCTGAAAATGCTAACAAGAAGAAGCAGATACCAACTTTACACCCGATATATACAGCGGTTGACTGGCTCTTCTGCTGACTGCTATAAGTTGTCTCTTCACCTCCAGCCCTCACTCAAGCCCTGCTGTCAGGGCCAGTGGACTGTTCCAGCCTCTTCAACTTTTACCTCTTTGCCTCTACGTGGATCTCTGGCTCCACTGATTTTCTTTTTCCCTTGGTATAACATTCTCCCCTTCTTCCTTTCTGTATTAATCTCAGGAAGAGCCCATTGATTGTCTCCTGCCTCCTTTATCAGAACTTGCTCTCCAAGTGTGATTTCCTTTACAGAGACTTCTTTGCAACAAGAGTTGACGCTGATTTTCCAAACCAAAGTTCTCGTTCCCCTCAGGCTGTCCTTCTTTGTGTTCAGCTTCTAGGAAATGGGGTCACTTCTCTAGCCTTCACCATTTCATCATCAGCTCTTACTTGAAACCCTTCTTTTCTGTCTTCTTCCCCCACAACTCTAGGGAAACCTCTTTTGAAGTTCACACATGGTTTTTTGTAAATAAGCTAGGGCAATCACAACCATGTGGCTTCTTAAACTCTGTTAACACAGTCAGTGGCCCCCATCTGTGTATGTCCCCTCACCTGATTTCCGTGACCCCGAGTTATCAGAGCATCTTAGTAGTCTTGAAGCCTATGCATGTCTCACTTGATGACTTCTTTACCCCACCCCCCATCTCTACTCTCTTCACTTTTCTGCCCTAGGAAGCATATGGGGTTTGTGTTCCTCAGGACTTGATATACTGCCTTTATCCATCAAACTAAACGATGCACATGTACCATAGCTTTTCACTTATCAGACCTTTTTATAATGTGCTCTTTCTTTTTCTCTACAACAAATTCTTCAAGTGGGCCCATCTTGAAATCCAGCGAGAAGCACGTTCATTCCCTAGATGTGGACGCCTGGTCCTTTCCTCCTGTAGGTACATCTTAGGTTTTGCTTGTTTGTCTTAATTCCACTACAAGGTTTAGTTCACCCTGCAAACAGTTTTGCTCAAGCTTTTATTGGTCTCTCACTTCTTCCCTTCAGTTTTCTTTAACTATCAGGTTTAGTTTGCTAAGTAACTAATCTGTCCTTACCTTCATTCCTGCCACATGCCTTTAGTCATGTGTTGGTTCCTTAGTCTGCTTTTTTAGTTTATATTTGGTGTACTCAACAAATACTAAATGCTATCATGGTATTTATTAAGGAAAGTATAAAAATGAATAGAATGGTCATGAGGTCTTTCATGAAATTTGCAGTCTATCAGGAAAGACAGACATTAAACAAATACCTTTTAAAAAAAAAACCTAAATACATAGAAAACAAGTGAGTACATTGTAATAAATGCTCCAGACTCCCCTCCCCCCTTCCTAGTCCTTGTGTGGTACAGCTTTTGGTAATAAACTGGGTGGTGGAATGAGGGGCCTGACGCGGTAAGTCTGTGCTTGTCCAGCGCATCTCAGTAAGTGCCACTGATGCTGTGGGGAGTATTTTGAGTGGCAGGAAGAGCAGTAGCCAAGGAAGGAACTGTGCCTGGTCTCTGGGAATTGTTGACTAGGGCAGTTCATGGGGTTGGGTGTGTGCAGTGGGTGGACTGGGAATTCTGAGCACATCTGCAGTGTGCTCTGACATCCTTTATCTTACAAGGAAGGTTGTGCTACCCCATGTTTGGGGTAGGCGTCTGAGACCCAGGATGCAGTCTCAGCCCCGAGGTGGGGCGACTGTTACTACCATGTCCACCATGGTTGTCCTGTGCTGTTGAGAGAAGCACAGGGGTCTTTCTAGGAAGCCTTCTCTGCTGCACTTTCCCTGTTTGGACTTCTCTTTCTGCAGTTAACTGCTTTTATGATTTGAGTCTTGCTTCCTTGTGTTTGCTTAGGGTTTCTAGTGTGTTGTCTTTGATACATACTTCAGAGCTGTTGAATATCTTTGCTCAGTCTTTCTGTCATCCCCCCATGCAGGCGTTGATATTAGTACTATTTGACAGGTGCCTGAGGACTGGCACTACCTGAGTTTTGTACAGTTTTTTCATTGCCACCCTGTTCCCTGCATAGGGTTCATGAGCACACATCCTGCCAGACAAAAAGGAAATATATCTGCAAGGCTCTGATATGGCAACTAAAATCAGACTTTAGCAAACATCCTGGCTCACTCACATGTGTGAAGAAGGTGTTGGGAGCAGTGCCCATGCCCATTTTATCCTGCAGTTAGGAAGGTGTCTTGAAAGTCTGGGGGAGGTTTGCACCCACAGTGCCACATTAGAACAGCTTGTGGGGAGATGTGCTCCAGGGGTGTAACCTCCTTGTCTGTCTCTCTTTTTTTAAAAGATGTAATCGAACACTGAGACATTAAGAATTAGTGGAGGGGAGCCAGGTGCCCTTAGCTCACACCTGTAATCTTAGCTACACAGGACACAGAGATCAGGAGGATCATGGTTTGAAGCCAGCCTGGGGAGATAGTTCACGAGACCCTATCTTGAAAAAACCATCACAAAAAAGAGGGCTAGTGGTGTGACTCAAGGTGTAGGCCCTGAGTTCAAACCTCACTACCCTGCCCCCCCCCCAAAAAAACCCCCAAAAAACAAAAAATGAATTAGTGGAGGGTAGAGCAAGACAAATGAGTGTGGCTTGCAAATACTGTTTCCAGCAGAGCGTAATAAAGAAGCCAGTGTAAGGGAGGTGTGTGCCTGAGAGAAGGGCTGGCATTGTGAAGATGGAGTTGAGCAAAGTGACAGATCCCAGGGCCGCAGATGCAAATGAGCTTTGTGTGGAGCACATGCATGCCATGCTGGAGATTAAATAGTCACTGAGTAAGTGTGGTGCAGCCTGTTTATACTGGGGGAGTCCTTGCCTCTGTTTACTGCCTAGGATAAGACACTGGAAGGAAGGATGAGCATCTGGCAAGGGCAGAGATGTGCAAGGAGTACGGAAAGATGATGCCCGAGGGACAGCTGGAGGTTTTGCTAAGACGATGGGAGGGTGTAGATCTAAGGGAGAAACCAAGATAGGAACCCTGAAAGCTGGTGTTTAGAGCAAGAGCGCATCTTGGACTACTTATCTTTGGCTAAGGCATTGCTTGGCGATATGTTCAGTTTCTGTTATCTGGGACTAAAAAATTTCTTTTCCCGTGTGGGAAACAACAATGCTTGTCCTCCTGGGTATGGGGAGTTGGATGGCCCAGAGGAAAGTGTGATGGTTTCAGTACATGCACTGTCCTGGATGAGACCTACATCCTACCGTTCTATATAAATGACTCACACAGACATGTTGGAAGTAAATAGAATATTTTTTCTAAAGGTATTTGAAGGTCCTAGCAAGATAGTTTCTGAATATGACATATATACTATTTCTTTATATCTAAAAACAACCTTACTAAGAAATAATATTTTCCTTAAGGAAGAAGTATCCCTGAATAGTGTGTCAGATGATGTGAGATCAATGCCAGGTTCAATGTTAGACAATGAAAAGGTTTTCAGTAGCTAGAACTTACTCTGCAGGGTGCACCCACACCAAATGCTTCTATTAAGCCTTCAGTTCAGTTGGCACTGTTTTTTACCTTAGCAAGGTCCAAACAGGAAAAACAGGGCGTTGCCAGTGACAGTTGAGGTGAGCTGCAAGGTGGGGGACACACCACTGCCAGCCAGTGTGGAGATGCTGAGGTGAGTGTGTTTCAGGGGTACGAGGTGTGACCCCCATCTCTGCAAGCCAGTCTCAGAATGCGTTTTCTGTCTTTCAGGACGAGTCTTCAAGTCATGAATGTAACCAGCGCACAATCCTTCTCTACGGAGTTGGCAAGGAGCGCGACAAAGCCAGGCATCAGCTGAAGAAGATCACCAAAGACATCCTGAGGGTCCTCAACAAGAAGAGCACCACGGAGCCTGGGGGTAAGAGCCGGGCGCCGGGGTGCTGCCTTCCCTAACTCAGTCTTTATCACAGTGGTACGGCTCTGTCACCAGTGTTTCCTGTTCCTAATGACTGTCACTTGAAATATGAATAAGCACATTTCACATGCAAGACCCCGTGTCCATTAATAGCAGTCTTTGTAGGACATACCACATTCTACAGGTAGGGAGAGGTCACTTTCACTCCTGTGCTCTCTGCATATGTGACACATTTTCTACCATGATAAGGAAAGAAGTGAGCGAACTACTTGGAAGGTGCTGGGTCTGGAGGAAGCTTTCTCTAGTTGTTCTTCATCATTTTCAGGCTTGTCACTGGCTTTTGCTCTTGTTACTTGGAGAGTCATGACAGTGTGGCTGCTGGTCATTTCTTACATTATTCAGAAGAATAATCACAACAGGTATTGATACCTGCCTATGTCACCAAATAATTTCAAATAAAAAGGAAAACTGGGTCTTTGAAGGTGAATGACTTCTTTGCCTGGAGTTTCCTTGTTCTTTATCCATAGTTTTAATAGTAAAACTGTGCCTTGATATCAGTGTGCAGTTGAAATTTTGTAATTATCCTTTCACATCTGCCCAGTGGCTCCTTTCGAGGTTCATTTCTTTCATTGTACAGTGATATGCGTGCCCCCATTCCATCCCACTTGAGTAACATAAAGGGAATGCCTTGGGATTCCCTGTGCTCCAGCATTCCTCCGCTCATACAGAAACTTCCTCTGTGAGCCGGCCTCCCTTTGTATGTACCTCCCCTTTGGGTCCAGCCTCTGGCCTCTAACAGGAGAAGTTATAAGAGCCTGTCTGTGCTGGATCCTTCCTAGACAAAAATGCAGTTACACATAGTTGAACTGGCTCCGTTTTCCTCTGTCGATAAAGCAGCACACACAGCAAGGCAGGGATGGCAGTGTGCGTTCACTTTGCACATGGTGGTCTGGTGCTTGAGGTCTGAGGTGGTGGTCTTTCAGACTCATTGGGAACGCTGCCCTTTTGTGACTTATGTCACATTCCCTCACACCTCCCCTTGCCAGATAAGGACCTTGTAGTGCTCCTGGCTCCTGAGGTGGCCTGTTGTCAGCAAGCTTGAAAAAGAAAGTACTCTATCTAAGAAAACTGTGCTGTTTTGCTGTTTTCTCTCTCAGAAAAGAGGAAGTAGCCTTGTAGCTAGCTAGCAAAGACTTGGAAGCTGGGGGAGGGAGGAATGCCTTCCATGAGCGATTTCGCGTCCTACAGACATTCTGGCCTGGGAGGCTGCAGGAGCTGGGAAGGGAAGAAAGCATGTGGGGTCTTTTTCTGTCGAGTCTTTGTACCCATCCCTTAAATAGGTACTTCTGGCTTCTGAACTCACAAAGGGATAATCATTATTGTTCCATGTGAGGACATATCTTCACAGGAGTTTTTGTTGTTCCTTCATTTTAGATAGAATTCCTCAGTGAGAAAGAAGTTGACTTATGATGATCTGGTACTTTCAGGCCACACTATGTGTATCAGAGGCCAGCCAGCTGTACTTCAGATAAGGAAAAAGAGCTCATGTCAGCAAGCGCTTATTTTGGGGAACACATAAAAATAAGATTTTGAGGAACCACACATTGACAGTGCTGTCTGACCAAGCAGACCTAGCCTAGGAGACTTTCTAACCTAAAGTGTATATGGCACCTCCAAGCGCCACGACTCCAGTGGACAGACTTCATTGTAGGTTCTCACTGAGTAGCCATCTTGTTTTGGTGCTTGATGGTGTGTCTTTTGAAATTGTTAATGAAGGCCTGGCATAGTGGCTCATGCCTGTAATCACAGGTGCTCAGGGAGGTGGGCATTGGGAAAATGGCAGTTCGAGTCCAGCCTAAGCAAAAGTTACTGAGACCCCCCCATCTGAATCAGTAAATCAGTTGTGGTGGTATACACCTGTGGTTCCAACTACCCAGGAGGCCTTAGGTACTCTGATCATGGTCTGAGGCCAGCCCTGGGCAAAAACTCAAGCTGTATGTGAAAAATAACTAAAGCAAAAAAGGCCTGGGGCATGATTCAAGTTGTAAAGCACTTGCCTGGCACCCTGAGTTCAACCCCCAGTACTCTTTAAAAAAAAAGGGAAGAAAAAGAAAACATTAATGAAGTTTACCATAGCAGTATCTCAAAGTCAAAGGGTCTGAAGGTTTGAAAACCAAGCAACAGAAGAGCAGTAATGTATATTATGAAAGCAAGTTAAATAGATAAGGAAAATGAAAGTGGAAGAGCCATTGACAAACTTTTATACGAGTTTTTAAGAAGTTAGGAGTAAATGGAGCCTCTTTGCACAAACAAACAAAAAGCTGCATTGGGACTTCTTAGCTGGATCTACTTCCTCAAGTCTATTGTTTTTTTGTTTATTTTGGTCCTAGGAAGGACTGAGTTACCATATTAACCTTACTATGAAAATACTTTGCATGCAAGACTATCATTAGCTCTTCAGCTTTGAATCTACAATGTTAAATGAAAAAAATTCAAAAGTTGGCTCTTTTAAATATGCTGGTGAAATTGAGCAGGTATCCTGAGGTGAAATTCTGTGCTTCCTTTGTGCTTGTGAGGAGAGACATGGAAAAAGAAGCAGGTGCAATGAACTTGCTTATTCTTACTCTTTGCATTAACATTTGGTGTGATTGATGTCACTCTAGCACCTCTTAGTTCTCATTTATTCTGGAATCCATATCTGGTTGCTTGGTTTTGTGCTTTGTTCTGAGCATTAATTGCTTAGTATCAAAAGGGAGATTTTTTCTCTGTTATTTTCTTAAAAGCCACTTGTCATTAGCAAAATATTTTTGTGCTTGGTAAAATCTTTTTTTTTTTTTTTGTGGTGCTGGGAGTTAAATCCAAGTCCTTGCACATGCAGGCAAGTGCCCTGCACAGAGCCACACCCTAGCCCTTGAGTCCAGTGAAACCTTGCTCATTACTTGTGTCCTTTATAAACAAATGTGTAAACTGACACTAGTTCTCTGAAGTTAAACTTTCTCAAAGAAAAGGACATGTGAGTAGTGGAGCTCATGTCTGGGTGGTTATTAACACTTGAAATTCTAGTGCTGGAAATGACCTTACTGACCATATAACCCAACCTGCCTGTTGGTTTTAGATTTGACTTTGTAAATACATGTATTAAAATACTTTAAAAAGGATTGAAGCTATTTTTGCATCTTATTCTTAGAACTGTTAAGAAGGATGAGTCCCCCTAAAATAAGTAATATTTATAACATTGTAATCAAAAATTTCTTCAAATTTCTAGCTAAATTGGTAAATATAGCATAGTACTTTTCCATAAATATGGAGTGACTTAATTCTTTACTACCCTAAAAATTTTAGGAATCACGTAACTTTTTTTTTTTTTTTTTTTTTTTTGGTAGCACTGGGGGCTTGAACTTAGGGCCTCACATTTGCTAGGTAGGCACTTTGTCACTCAAGCCATTCCACCAGCCCAACTTTCTTTTTAAAAGATGTGTATAGAACTGATTCAACAAAGAATGGAGATGACTCTCCAAAGAAAATGGCCTTGAAGTGTCCTCATCTGTCAAAGTGGGCCTGGGTGATCCCTCTCTGTAGACTGTTGAGGTAATGCTGTTTAAGATACTTTCATGATAGCCAAAACAGAGGTACTACTTACTAGAATTGATGAATAAATGGTCGTATAGTCCTATGTTGGAATAATGTATATAAGCAAGAATTATTAATTTTTAGAATGAGTTACAGTTACCTCAAGATGACAGGTGTGAGCAATATACCACATGATTCAATTTATAGATAGGTCCAAGCAGAGAACACCAGGCCATGCTGCAGGGAGAGGGACGGGCCCACATCTGAGCATGAGGAGTGGTTGGTGGGCTTCTGGGGTGCTCTGTCGTGACTTGGTCTCCTTATATGAGTGTGTTCATTGTGTATGGATTTCTATCCATAGTTCATATGCTTTTCTGCGTTTGTGCTATACTTCAGTAAAAGTATCGATATAGTAGTCAAGATAACCTATTTTATTTACTCAGTCGGGGACGAAGGACAGAAGGCCAGGAAGACCAAACAGGAAGCATTTCCAACACTGGAGACGGTGTTCACAAAACTCCAGCTCCTTTCATACTTTGACCAGCACCAGGTGACATCCCAGGTAACCATTGATGGCATGGTTCCTGTTTCCTTGAGAATCTTTTTCATGTGGTGTATTTTCAGATTTAATTAATTTTATAAGCACATTTTATAATTATTTTTTACCTTATGATACTAATCAACAATATATGAAGTCATCCCCCAACTCAGTACTTATTTTACTACATATTAGTCCTATATCACTGTTGAAGGAGAAATCTGCTGGTGATTGAATTAAAACCCTGGGAAACTGAGAAGAAACCAAATCTGTTTTGTTTTGCAAATCCATTGATAATTAGATGCATGTATAACTTTTCTAACTTTAGCATCATTAAGATGTAGGTCCTAGTGACACCTTGTGATACTTCTTCAAATTATGATTGTAAGGAAATTGATGTGCACATGGCTTTGGTTTCTGTGTAAATAAATAGTAGAGTCACATGAACTGAACAAACTTGGAAAAGCAGAGCAATTGTAGTAAGACATTGTTCAAGTGTTGGTTGCGTACAAGAGCTGATGCAGTGTGAGGTTGCTTTGCGTACTGCCTGTGTGTCAGCCTCACTCTCACTGTGCAGATCTCTAACAACGTGCTGGAGCAGATCACAAGCTTCGCCTCAGGGACGTCCTACCACCTCCCTCTCGCTCACCACATTCAGCTCATCTTCGACCTCATGGAGCCGGCACTGAACATCAACGGACTCATTGACTTCGCCATACAGGTGTCAAAGAGACCATGCCTCACTTTCTTCTAGGAAAACAAAACTACCAGGCATTTTGGAATTTTAGTTGTTTAAAAAATTTTAACTTGTTGTCCAGGTTGGTCTTGAACTCCTGGTTTTAAGTGATCCTCCCACTGAGCCTCCTGAGTAGTGGGGACTACAGGCATGGCACTGCTACACCTGGTGTAAATTCTTTTTTAATTGCTACTTAAAAAGATAAAAATCATACATATTTATGATGCTTTGATACATGTCTACATAGAATAATGTTTGCATCTGCTTAAAGATACCTATCTCTTCACACTGCTACCCTTTTTTCACAGTGAATTCTCAAAATCCTTTCTTCTAGCTTTTTGAAATGCACTGTACATTATTGTTGTTTGTAGTCACCCTGCTGTGCAGTAGCACAGCAGAACTTCTTGTGTCTGTCTGACTATAGCTTAGTGAGTACCCACTGACCATGTTTCCCCATCCTTCCCAACCCCACTTCTGACCTCTGACCTCTGACCTTTGATAGCCACCTCCTGGCATTCACAATGAACCATTGATGTTTATTAACACTACTTAAGACCCACTACGTTGTTTAATGAGACATTCCAAATTAGCAATCTTCAGGTAGTATTGAAATTATAGCTCTACTCACAGTTTCCAATTGAGCAATTATAATGTGCTAAAAATACTTGTCATTTCAAAATGTGACATTTCAAGTGGTTTTTCTTTTTGTCTTTTGTAATTTTGTTTAGGAAATAATGCATTTCCCTGTGTAGTAGAGTGTATTTTAGGTTGAAAGCAAAAAAACCTTATAGTTTCCTTTGTCCCACTATCATTCTTATACTGCGTTCGAGTTTGTTTGTGCCTTGTGTTGTCAGACTTGGCCTCATTTCTTATTCAGTAGTAGGTATTAACTTTACTAGTAAGAAGAAAATAATGACAATTTCCATTATATTAAAAAGAGGACTGGGATGTAGCTCGGTGGTACAGCGCTTGCCTAGCATGCGTGAGGTCCTGGGTTCGATCCCAGCACCAAAAAAGAAAAGACAAAAAAATAAATAAATAAATAAAAAGGAGAATAGAGGAAAGTGAAGAGCTCGATATCCTGCAAGACAACTGAGTCCAGAACTCTGGGCTGCCTATGGGTTCAGAGCTGTTTCAGTACTGGGTACTTCTTGACTGTGTGCACTGATGTCTAAACAGAAGAACAACTAACTAAATCGGTAAAGGCTTACAAATACAAGCCAGTTTCATTCACTGGTGTGTGCTTTCTGAGGCGCTGGCACACAGAATGACCCTGTGGATGGTTTGCAGAAGTAAGAGTTTTTCCTTTCTGGCCTCCCGCCACTCATGCAGCCACTTCTCTGTTGTAGTTACTGAATGAGCTGAGTGTTGTGGAAGCTGAACTGCTCCTAAAATCCTCCAGCCTGGCCGGAAGTTATACGACGGGACTGTGTGTCTGCATCGTGGCTGTTCTCAGGCGGTACCACAGCTGTCTGATCCTGAATCCTGATCAGACAGCCCAGGTGTTTGAAGGGTCAGTATATAAAATATCATGGTTGTTTTTTTCCAAGCCTGAGAGGTATAACTTATGATGAAATAGTACAGTCATTTTAAGAGAAAAGTAGTACCTATAGCTGCTTCACTAAAAACTTCATTGAAAGAATACTTCTGCCAGAAAACACTTATTGGAGAAAGAGGTATAAATGTGTAAAGGAACTTCTACTCAATTAAGCATGATTCCTTGCTCCTTTCTCCCAACTTTCTTTCCCACCCCTGGTTTCTAAAACACTGTCAGTTATGCTCGCCAGCATTTTGGCTTATTTATAAATAGAAACTGGAACAGCACATGAACTTCAAAATAGGAGACAATGTGTCTTAGAATTCAGGAAACACGGAATTATTTAAGAACCCTCAACTGTGCTATAAAGCTTGAGTTTAGTATTATTTTATGTTTCTAGCCTCACATAGGTAGTAAATCTCAGATCTTAACAAGATCTTTCTAACTGGGTGTTTGTTCACACTGTTTTAAAGAAGCGAGTGGAAACCCTGGTTGTGAAATCAGTTCAATGTGTTGTGACAGGGATTTTCGCTTGGTTGTTTTTATATTGTTAGTTTGAAATTGACTTTAGTAGCATTTATTTGGGCATTTTAAATTTGTGTTCTATTGAATAGCCATAAAATCATATCTAGCATTAACTTCGTTATATCTTTACCTTATACATAGTAAGGAGAAGTATTTTGCACTTACATGAATGAGTATACCAGCTCACAGTGTAAAAGTTCTCACATCTCCGGCAAGTCAGAAATTAAGGAAAAGCACCCATGTGGCTCTCAACAGGCATTTGTTGGGGTTAGCTTGTTTAGATAGTTACAGACTGAGTCAGTGCTTCTCCCTTAACTGAGACGCCTTTGCTGCCGCTGGCAGGTAACCCCACCTGTCCGTGTACCTTCACTGGGGTTGTGAAGCAACCTTGCCATCTCTCCAGGTTGTCTCCTGGTATCCTCCCTTGAAGCCTGTGATCCCATGTTCTCAGGCCCTCTCCTGCCTTCCTTGTCCATGAAAATTCAGACAGCTTGAAGCGCTCCTCTCTGCTCTTTGCCTCTGTCACTCCGCCTTACTGTGCCTCAGAGTCCTTTGTACAGTGAGGATTGTACGATGAGGATGGACAGAGCCAAGGCTCTGTCCACATTAACTTCCCCGAGTCGTCTCGGACACTGTCAGTGTTCTGCTGTGCTGAGCCCTGTGACATGGTACAAGCTTGTGGTAGCAACAGGCTCCACGTGGCTGGGCCAGAAGTGTTGTATGAACTGTGGACAAAGAGGCCTCAGTTGTGATTGGGGAGAAAGTGGCACAGAATGCTGGAAGTAGTGGCACTTCAGAGCAAAAGGTGTTACAGATGGTACCACTAACATAGGGGGCTCCATCTTCCTACATAAGATAAAATTGGATGAATCCCAATTCGTCTAATTGAATTCATCTAATCTTATTCATCTAGTGTAGATGAATAAGGGGTGCGACTCCAAACCGTGAATTCATGCCAGACCAGCTCTCAAGGTGGGTTTCTCTGGGGTGCTGCTCTGAATGAACCGAGAGTCTGTGCCTGCCAGCTGTACTGCGAATCCCTGAACTGGAGACAGGCCTTGTCCTCCTCCCTCCCTTTCAAGTTCTGGCCCCTGCATCTTAGTTGTAATTTTCTCCATGCACCACTGCTGTGTGTAGGAATTTCTCTCATTGCCCTTGTTTCTTATTGTTAGTGACGTTGCTGAGTTTTTTCACTATCATAGCAGAAACTGGCATCTAATACTTCACTGTGTGCTGTAATGCTTTTAGTTTCAGCAGTTTGACACCTTTTTCTGGCTTCTGATATGTGTTGTTCTCAAGAGATGCATTGAAATATTCTCACTATAAAAGATTTAAGTGACAGTTTGTCCATTACCAGATAGGACTCACACACCCCAACCTCTGTCCTCAGGTTGTGTGGCGTCGTAAAGCACGTCGTAAACCCCTCCGAATGTTCTTCCCCTGAACGGTGCATCTTAGCCTACCTCTATGACCTCTACGTGTCGTGTAGCCACCTCAGAAGTAAATTTGGAGACCTCTTCAGGTAGGTAGAAGAAAATCGAAAGACCAGAGAGATAAGAGTGCCTGTGTGTGCTAGTACCTCCCACCAGTTTTGCCCTTTTTGGCTTTTTTGTGGTTGTTTTTTGTTTTGGTGTGCTGGGGATTGAACTCAGGGCCTTGTGCTTACTAGGTAGGCAGGTGTTCTACCCCTTGAGCTACTTCCCTTCAGCCCTATTTCGCCTTAGGTATTTTTCAGGTAGGGTGTTAATGCTTTTGCCCTGGACAAGCCCTGGACCGTGATCCTCCTACGTATGCCTCCCTCATGGCTGGGATTACAAGCGTATATTAGCTTGTTTTCTGAGATAGGTCTTGCTAACTTTTTGCCTGGACTGGCCTTGAATCAAGATCCTCCTATCACTACCTTGTCATCCTTTTTTTTTAGTCATTATTACTTCTGTTAGGTGATAATTCGATATACTCAAAATTTGTTTAAACTGAATACTGAAACACATAGAATTAAAGATAGACTACTGTGCAATGTAAGTAAGTGATCATAGCTTTAAGCCCTAGTTTGGAATGACTTTAGGCCATAAACCATACAACCTGACTAATTTTATGTCCTCGGTAGTGAAAGGATTTTTCCTTTCGTCATGCTTATATTCTTTAAAGTTTCACAGCTTTAGTGAGGTGAGTCCTATTGAAGAGATGATAAATACTTAGTATGTCTTTACATTGGAAAGTTCAATTTGAATCATAGGTCTAATAGAAGGTTCCATGGCAGTGATTTTATGGCATACTGCTCTTGGCTTTGACATCCCTCCCCACGTGTCGATCAGAATTTTTGTGTTATTTTGGCTTTTGTATCCTCTGGGCAAAATACTTTTGTTTATTAGTGACTCAGAAAGTCCTTAGACCATTCACTGTTCATAGCTTTTCCAGACTGTTTTTACTTTTCTCTCTTTTTTAAGTTGTTTGCTCTTTAGTAAATCATTTCTTCATGGACTTTTTTAAAAGATGAGTTTCTACACTGAATAACGTTTACTCACTGTGCACTGAAAGGAGACCAGCTGTTTTGTATTACCAATGTTGTTTGATTCATGTTCAGCTTGGTCCTCTCTAACATTTCCTGCTGTAAAAGGAACATACTTGAGTTAGTTATAAGAAGATATTGGAAAACTGCAGCTAACCTGCTTCTTGCTATTGTAGACCTTAAAGACGCTGTTGTCAGGTCATGGATTTAATTCCCAACAAAGGATCTTGTCGCTTAAGAAAGAGTGTATAGATTGTCATCTCCATAGCCATCTTATCGTTTCAGCCCTTGTTCAGCAGTCACATTGAATGACCCTGCTGTAGCTATGGTCTCCTAGTAGAGACTGCTGTGTATGCTTGGCGGTCCTTTTGAGTTCGAGATAAACTGAAAAGTACTGTGTGTCTCCCCTTTGCTGTTACCTCACTCAGACATTCCCAGAGCCATCTGCAGGCTTGCTTCTTCACTGCATTTGTGTGTCCACCTCCCTAACCATTGACTTCAAGCAGCAGCCCTTACCTTACCATACTTTGTGTCCTAGCACTTGCTTTCTCCACAGGTGGCACAGGTACCTGCTCGATGTTGTCTTGAGGAATTCTAAATTGACTGTAGGTGAAGGGAGGAGAGGAGAAGCCAGTAACCGGCCAAAAAGTTATGTATCCAGAAGGAGTAAGGCAGGAGCCATCAGTTTCAGTTTCCCTCACCCTCCCTTGCTGTGTCCATTGCATTTGTGAATCCTGGGAGCTCTGCCATCCTAGTAGGTCTAGACTTGGCTCCTCTTTAGTATCTCTGTCACTGCCCCATGGCCATCTCTTCCCTGGACCATTGCGGAGTCCATGGCTCACAAGCTTATCCTCAACACTTCCACTGACATGGAATGATTCAAAGCTGTGGCTGTCCCATCTGCTCAGCACAAAATTCAGAGACATCATCCAGCCTTCAGGACCTGCCAGGTCCCATCTTCTCTTCCACCTCTTTCCTTCCGGGGCCTCCTCCTCCTCCCTTGCCCAGGCTTGGCTTGCTGACACTCCGGGGCTTTTGTACATGCTCTTACCTGGAGTGGCTTGAGCATTGCCTGCAGCCACTTGAGTGCTCACTTCCACAGGCCACTCATGACTCTGTGTTCCTGACCACCCAATTTTAGGTAGCACCCCTCCCCATTCATTCCCACAGTGTATTCACATTCACTTATCTGCCTCCTCCCTGGAGCAGAAACCTTTTCTGTCTTCTTCCTTGCTGTATCCTGGGGCCTGGAGGTTGTGTAGGGCTTAGCACTGCAGAGGAGAGCTTGGAGGCCAAAATGACCTGGCTTTATAGACACTGCTGTTGAAGGAATGGCGGGTGCCCTGAAAATTGTATTTTAACAGTTTTGATAAAGAAAAATAGGAAAGTCTGCTTCCATGAAATGGGCTAGATTCCAAAATAATCTTTGGTGAATACTTGAGTCTGAGAAACCCTGTTCATGAAACCATGTGTAGTAGACAGACCTCACTGTCTTCCGTTGCTGTAGACGAGCTTTCATTTTCAGTTTATGTTTGTCAGAGAGCTTTCGCTGTCATCATAGGACTCTTGGCAGCAGACGTGTTTTTAGTGGTAAACTTCCCTTTGCAGCCCCTACTGCTCCTACAGTGCAATATGGGTTGGTTAGATGAGTAAATTGAGGTAACATGCAGAGAACTAGAACACCAGCTGTGGAGTGAGGCACTACTGAGTGCCTTCAGGGTAGCACATACCAGAAAAGGGGTATCTTGAAGTCAGGGATTTGTTTTGGGATTAGAAAAAAGCAGAAAACAAGCTACATGTGTGAAAGGCTTCCGTTAATATAGTGACAGAACAATTTGAGTAACTTTATCTAGACCATCATCCATAGAGTTGTGTGGGGAGAAACACTTGGGAAGTGTAACACCATGACTTCTTGAGTTCCTGCTGTGTGTGTGCCAGGCACTGCCTGGGTATTTCCATTAAGGTATCAACTCTTCACAACTTCCCCAGGAAACAGAATGACATTGATCAATATGTGACGAAGCCTAGATTTGAACATAAGTCCTTTTGGCCTCGAGGTGTGTGCTGCTTTCATTACTCTATAAGGTTTCTCTTATACTTGCAATTTCACAAGGAAATGTCTGGGGTTTTGGCTTAATTCCCTATGAGGGTGTGAAAAGAACAAGTGAGTGGTCTGGATGGCAGGAAGTATCTTATTAGACGTAGAAGAAGAAGTGTGGTGGTAAGCCAGGCAGCCAGAGATGAGGTATGAGGAGGCTGCAGAGTTCAGAGAACACTTTGCAGAAAAGCATGTGGGTCTCCAAAGCTGAGAAGCAAAGGCAGGATTGTTTAAAACTAAGAAAGTGGGTAAAAAGTCAGTAGCAGAAGTCCTCTGCTGTTTCATCAAACACGTGAGGGCACTGGGAGGCAGAAGAAACCAGGATGGGTGTTAGAGAGGGGACTGGGGGAAGAGCGAAGTCTGTGTTACATTTTTAATGGGAAAGTGAAGCAAGTGCTAAGTGAGGGTGAGTGGAGAGCTAGGTAGAAAGCATAACAAGAGTAAGAAAAACCCAGATACAAAGCACCAGGGACCAGGAAATGAGCATCAGTTTTGAAAATGTCATAACTCCAATTGCAAGCGTACATCCCTCCATGGTACTGACAAGATTTTATATTAGTTGACCCTATACCAATATTAACTCAAAATGGATCAAGGATCTTAATATCAGACCACAAACTCTAAAGGAAATACTCTGGAATTAATAGGTATAGGTAAGAACTTTGTCAATGGAACCCCAGCAGCACAGCAACTAAGAGATAGCATAGATAAATGGGACCTCATAAAACTAAAAAGCTTCTGCTCAACAAAAGAAATGGTCTCTAAACTGAAGAGAACACCCACAGAGTGGGAGAAAATATTTGCCAGCTACACATCAGACAAAGGACTGATAACCAGAATATATAGGGAACTTAAAAAAACTAAATTCTCCTAAAACTAATGAACCAATAAAGAAATGGGCAAGTGAACTAAACAGAACTTTCTCAAAAGAAGAAATTCAAATGGCCAGAAAACACATGAAAAAATGCTCACCATCTCTAGCAATAAAGGAAATGCAAATTAAAAACACGCTAAGATTCCACCTCACCCCTGTTAGAATAGCCATCATTAACAACACCACCAACAACAGGTGTTGGTGAGGATGCGGGGAAAAAGGAACCCTCTTACGCTGTTGGTGGGAGTGTAAACTAGTACAACCACTCTGGAACAAAATTTGGAGGCTACTTAAAAAGCTAAACATTGATCTACCATTTGATCCAGCAATACCACTCCTGGGGATATACCCAAAAGACTATGACACAGGTTACTCCAGAGGCACCTGCACACCCATGTTTATTGCGGCACTATTCACAATAGCCAAGTTATGGAAACAGCCAAGATGCCCCACCACTGACGAACGGATTAAGAAAATGTGGTATTTATACACAATGGAATTTTATGTAGCCATGAAGAAGAACGAAATGTTATCATTCGCTGGTAAATGGATGGAACTGGAGAACATCATTCTGAGTGAGGTTAGCCTGGCCCAAAAGACCAAAAATCGTATGTTCTCCCTCATATGTGGACATTAGATCAAGGGCAAACACAACAATGGGATTGGACTATGAGCACATGATAAAAGCGAGAGCACACAAGGGAGGGGTGAGGATAGGTAAGACACCTAAAAAATTAGCTAGCATTTGTTGCCCTTAACGCAGAGAAACTAAAGCAGATACCTTAAAAGCAACTGAGGCCAGTAGGAGAAGGGGACCAGGGACTAGAGAAAAGGTGAGATCAAAAAGAATTAACCTAGAAGGTAACACACACGCACAGGAAATCAATGTGAGTCAACTCCCTGTATAGCTATCCTTATCTCAACCAGGAGAAACACTGTTCCTTCCTATTATTGCTTATACTCTTTCTTCAACAAAGTTAGAGGTAAGGTAAGGGCAAAATAGTTTCTGCCAGGTATTGAGGGAGGGGGTGGAGTGGGTGGTAAGGGAGGGGGTGGAGGCAGGGGGGAGAAATGACCCAAGACTTGTATGCACATATGAATAATAAAACAATAAAAAACAAAAAAAACAACAAAAAAGATTTTATATTAGTTGTCTGCAAGGAGAGATAAGCCGTGTAGACAATTGTACTTACCCAGTTTGTGGTGATTGTACTGTTGCTATGAGGTGTTTGTAGAGTCTGTGAACACACGTGCCACAGTGGGGCCCAGCTATCTGAAAGTGACCAAAGGGGAAGACCGAAGCTACATTTTAATAAGCACTGAACTCAACGATTTGTTGTCTTTCATAAAACTGTTGGCCATGGCAAGAGTCTAGGTGAACTGTCTGCATACTGTTGTTTGGTGGTTTCTTTTTTTGTGTGGAGGGGTCAGACCCAAGCTGGCCTTGAACTTGCTTTGCTGTCCTCCTGCCTCTTAAGTCCTGAAGTTAACAGGTGTGTGCCACCACACCCAGCTCTTTGAAAAATCTTTTTTTAAAGTATTTTTATTTATATGTGACAGTTACACAGGCGATTGCATTTTGACATTTCCATATATACTTTAAAAATCTCTTAATGTTGCTGAGAAATACAACCTGATAAACTGTAGTGGTGCCGTAAATTCCTTTGCTCTCATAGAATAGTATCCAGAAAGATAATATAGAAACGCTAAGGTCCCCATTTTTCACAGTGCCCACAATAGGCTGGGCACGTGAATTCCAGTGGACCTAGAAGAGTCTCTCAGGATGTGGTTAGGACTAGAACACCCCATTTTTCCTAATATGTAATTAAATCTGCTCTTATTCTTAAGTAATAGGACTTTGCAACTCATGTTAAGAAATAGTTGTTGGAAACCTTAGTGGATTCGTTTTTATTTTTGAGCATATAAAAGGTAGAAAAGGTTTAGAGAATAGCTTTAAGACTAGCAACCAAGTGTCTTGTCCTTGTTTTCTTCTTCCCTAAGTCAAGCAACCACTCACTGAGCCATTGCTACATCCCAGGTGCCGTGCTCAGTGCTCATTTATGAAGAAGTTGAAATTATGCACTTGTGATGTGTCTGTACTCTTGGGGCATGCCCTTTTTAAGTACATGCTGTTTAGTCTCTGCTTAAGTGAAGTGCTTTTCTTGTCCTAGGGTTTTTTGCTTGTGTGTTTGTTTTTAACTGTTCTTCTTGTAACCTCAGTAGTGCCTGTTCAAAAGTAAAGCAAACCATATACAATAACGTGGTGCCTGCAAATTCCAACTTGCGATGGGATCCTGACTTCATGATGGATTTTATTGAGAACCCTGCCGCCCGCAGCATCAACTACTCTGTGCTGGGCAAGATCCTCAGCGACAGCGCTGCCAGCCGCTACAGCTTCGTGTGCAACACCCTCATGAATGTATGCATGGGCCACCAGGATGCTGGGAGGTGAGGTGGGCAGCTGCTTTGAAATGCACTGTCCTCATTTTCTGGGCTCACATTCGGCCTGTTTGGGAGTGGGCGGTGGTCTGGCCCTGGGGTTTGAACTCAGCCTCATGCTTGCTAGGCAGGCACTCTACCACTTGAGCCACTCCACCAGCCCGCTTTTTTCCACCCCCCCCCCATCTTCTGTTACTCTTAAATTTACCTCTCTCCTAAAATCTCCTTAACCCTGGGAAATAGCACTTTCTGTCTCATGCTGTATAGATTGTTTTTTCTAAGACACAGACAGTAAAAATACATATGCTTTGATCAAAACCATATTTGGACTTACTTTTCTATAATGTCTTTAGTTTTTGACCCTCGTAGACTAGATCTGCTCACAAAATGAAAAGCATGCTAATATACAGGATTCTTGTTTTCGTTTACTTGCATTGATTGCTAGAAAATATTTAAAGCAATTTTATTTTCTTTTGCCTCAAGGTTGTACTATTGTTTGACAAATGGGTGTGTGTTGCATCCTTAAATCTAAGAAAAGGAGTAGCTCACTCCATGGTTGTGATGTGAAGTCAGCAGTCAGTACATCACGTTGGCCACTGCCCTCGCACAGCTCACTGTCACTGTTCTTCCTGTTCTAGGATTAACGACATAGCCAATCTCTCCTCTGAGCTCACTGCATGTTGCACAGTCCTCAGCTCAGAGTGGCTGGGGGTCCTGAAGGCCCTGTGCTGTTCTTCAAACCACGTGTGGGGCTTTAACGATGTGCTTTGCACCGTTGATGTAAGTTTTCGTTTTCATTGAAAACTGGGCAGCTAAAAATTTGGCTAGTGGGTAATTTTTTTATTATTTAATTTGCTCAACTATGACATGTAAACTTTTTCTGTTAAAGCACAGTGTAGTTGCCAAGAATTAAATAAATGGGCCAGACACTGTAGCTCACACCTGTATCCCAGCTACTTTGGAGGTTGAGATTGGAAGGACCAAGGTTTAAGTCCAGCCTGGGCAGATAATTCTGAAGACCCCCCCCATCTCCAAAATAACCAAAACAAAGTGGACTGGAGGTGTGGCTCAAGGAGTAGAGAACCTGCTTTGCAAATGTGAAGCCCTGAGTTCAAATCCCAGTCCCCCAACACACAAAAGAATTAAATAAATGAAAAAATAGTAAATAAAAGGGATTGCTTAATCTGTAGCAGAGATGCCAAGAGTTCCCTATTTCCTGAAGTTTCCATTTAGGTGAGTTTCATATGAAAGATCTGTTCTTCGTTTTTGGCTTGGGTTCTTTGTGGCCTTGGATGTAACTATAGCATGTACACTCTGTATCTGAGAGTACCAAGAACCTGTGTGTACACTCAGATGCTGCACAGCCCTTGTCAGTGAGGGTATCTACAGAGTAACAAGGTACACCCTTGTTCCTTGTTAGGTCAGCTCACACCACATGGTGTCTGGATTCTTTGTCCTCCTAATCACTCTGGGAGCGAATCTTGGGATAAAGAACATCTTGCACTTTTAAGGCTGCCTCTTGGTGGAAGGTTTATGCCCTAGTTCTGTTGTTTTAGGGCTGAGTGGACAATCCTCTCCTTATTGCCAGTCTACATACATATATATGTATAAACATACACATATTCATCAGTGGTGACCTGCTTTTCCAAGCAGGAAAGACCGAGTTTTATTTTTGATATAGTTCTTCTGCTTCTTGGTTGTTTTTAGTTAGGCTTTGCCCTTAGAGTCTTTCATCTCTAAGAATGGACTTAATAATAGAATGGGCCTCATGGGCTGTTCACTGAGATGATTTTTGTAAATTGCTCAGCCCTGGTCCCTGGCATGTGGCACCAGTCACCATGAAGCTGCCATTGCACTAGTCCTACCAGGTCTTGTGAGATAGGAAAGGTAAAGATTTCACTGTGACTGAGTTGATTCTCTTCCTCTTCCTCTTTAAATGTAGGAGTCAGTGGGAAACGCTTAGAGTTGTTTTTAAAGCTAATTCAGTTACCTTAAAGATTATGTAGTTGTGTCAGAAAGGAACTCCGAAACACTAGTGAGGCTTCCGCATCCCCGGGGTACCCTCTCTCTTCACCTCAAATGATCCATTGCGTTGTGTTGTGCTGAAGAGCATTAGTTATGTCACATCCTTTAGTGATTTCTGGATTTTGCCTTTTGTTGTCTTATTTTTCGGTTGCATGCATGTACGTCAAAGCTTGGTGTCTTACTGTACTGGAGTTCGGGCAGGCATCACGCTTTGACCTGTAAAGTAGTAGGCCAAGAGGGCGACAGGCACGATGCTCCCTCTCCCTCTGTGGGTCTTGAAATCTTAGCGGAGTTGCCTACGTTCTCGTAGAAAATTATCTTTGGTACTACTTAAAAGGGTGTTAGGTATTAAAACCTGTCAATGTTTTTCTTGAAGGTGAGTGACCTTTCATTCCATGATTCATTAGCTACTTTCATTGCTATTCTGATAGCACGACAGTGTTTCTCCCTGGAGGACGTCGTGCAGCACGTCGCACTTCCCTCTCTCCTAGCTGCAGGTGAGTGGCAGGAGCTGCATGTGTTACAGGGCATTGACTCGGTTGGCCCTTTCTCTGGAAAGGAAGCACATGATGCAGGGTGGTGTGGCACCAGTAGAGATGCTAGACTTGAAATAGCTCTTCTGTGCAGAGTACTGTGGACGAGAATCTGCTATTACCTCATCTGTTTTAGGGAAGTACTCCAGTTTCTCAGAAAAGTATAGCCAGTGCCTTACTTTCTTACAGTGAGGAGAATTTATTTAAAATATGCCCCCATACTTAGCTTAATAGAAAACTGGAAGGACTTGTTCTTGAATATGTTAGCAAGCTTGCTTGTTAATCCCCTTCCCTAGCTTGTGGAGATGCAGACGCGGAGCCCGGGGCCAGGATGACATGCCGACTCCTGCTCCACCTCTTCCGAGCTCCCCAAGCCTGTCTCTTGCCACAAGCAGCGGGTGAGCTGACAGCCACAAAGGGCCTGGGGGCCTTTCCATTGGAGCTGTGGGTTTACAGTGATCAGTGGGGCTACTTTGTAACTTCCTTCTGATTTTTGTGGGCTTGATCTAGGGTGATAAGGGAGGGGGATAAAACCAATAAGAGGGCCGCCAGCTTCCACTTATGTAATGTCCGGATGTATTGGGAAATAAAAATCAGGATTAAGTAAGCAATAAAAATACCTGTGCTCTTAGGCCATGCCATGCTGGTGGGTGGCCTGATGCGCTAATGTACTCATTGTTGACTCTCAACCCCATCATTCCAGCTTAGGGCAATGATTCATTTATATTCTGGTGGTACAGAGGTAAGGTAAGAATTCTAGGGGCATCAGTGAATTGTGTTCCTAAAGATCATTTCCTTGTCAACCTGTTTGTGTTTGTGTGGGGGTCCTGCTAATCTCTGAGGAACAAACCATTGTTCTCATGATTAAAAAGACAAGGTTAAGTAAAAATACCAACATTGTGTCTCGTGAATGTGGGGAGCCTCGAGTTCAGCCAGAGAATGGCAGATGTGCACCCACAGTCTAGCAGTGAAAGCCCCACTCTGTAGACTATTACAGCAGACTGTCAATGACAGCAGGAGGCCACTACAGGCTTGTTGTTGTTTCCCTAGGCAAACCTTTCCCTGGAATAAGATCATCATGTGATAGACACCTCCTAGCCGCTGCTCACAACAGCATCGAAGTAGGAGCCGTATTTGCTGTCTTAAAAGCCATCATGATGCTTGGTAAGACTGGAAACAGAGGCAAAATGACTCATGTTCAGTGATGGTCAGGTTAAAATCTAGTAAACATTATTGGAGACACTTTAGTTGTCCCAAGTCCAAGTGTAAGGAACCGTCTGAGGATTCTGTCCCTTACCACAGGTGTCCTGTCCTAGGGGAGTTTAAGTATACTTATTTGGTTCAATTCATTGTGTGATGTCTCATTTGGATGTGGAGTAGATTCCTAGGTCCACAGGGTTGTGCTCAGGTTAAAATTAAGAAAATGTTACTAGAAACATGTTAGTTGGCTCAAGTGCAAGTATGAGGAACTGTCTGAGGATTCTGTGCCTCACCAGAGAGGTCCTGTCCTGGGGGAGCTGCAGTATAAATGCCATTTGGTGTGTTTCGTTGTACAGTGCCTTGCTCTGACCTGAACTAGATCCCAGGTCCAGGGTGGTTCGCCTTTGTTTATTGACAGAGAACAGTTTTAAAGGGACGAGGATGGACTTACGTTTTAACTAAAGGTTTAAATTTCAACCAGATTATATTCTAGGAACAGAACATCAGAAAACCTAGGCTCTCCAACTTGCGCTGGGACCCTGAATGAGTTTATGCCTTTCTACCTTAGTTGTTTCACAAATCTGGTGATAATTGCAGTGATGTGCATCTTGCTACTAAGTCAATATTAGATGTCCCAGTGTTCTTTCATGCAACTCATAATGCTCAAGATGCCTTTAATTCTTACGTGTGTGCTTTCATGGGTAACAGAACACCTTCTGTTCTCCGACTCATAATCCCTCAAGACCTTTTTATTCTGCAAACCATCAAATATTTGAATGACTAAGAAGTCTTGAAGAGTGCCTAGTTCCAATGTTGGGTACCTCTTTTTGGCCTTGACTGGACAGTTTCCCTCTCGTGTTCAAAAGGGGCTCTCCTTGATTGAAACAGAGTTCCTGAGTGGAGAAATATTTCTGTAATAAGTCTTAAAGAACATGAGTGAGTATGTAACCCTGTCCTGCTTGAAAAACATTGTTTGGTGGTGGCAAGGAAGAATAGTTTCCAAAAGTCCACCTAAAAAGAATACACACTTTCTCTTGAAATGCCTGTGAATTTTGTAGCAAAAGGGGAAGGGAAGAGCGATGTTCCTGCTATGGTCTCTCCTCTGAGCGTACTTTAGCAAGTGTGATTTCTCTACTTTGATGAGACTGAAGTGAATGACAGCTCATCAGATCTGTGTAATCAACATTGGGATCAGGAAGGCATTTCCAGAGTAGGTTTTCAGTGAACTAATGTTGGAAATGTGAATATGTAAGTGACGGGTGTTTTAATGGCAGAAACCATGATGGGTGCCTCCTAGACACTTGGCCCCTTGATGTGAGATATGCCTACCTTTTTAAGTGTTCAGGTAATACAGGGGTTCTCTGGGTCTGAGAAGCAGATTCAGGCCAGTTAAATGTCAACAGAGCCTTGTTCATAGCAGACACCCAGTTTGTCCTACTGTCTGTACAATTACAGAATGTTCTAGCACAGTCCCTCAAACTGATGTCACCCTAATGTCTGCAGTAAATGGGAACATCCAACTCTGGGACTGGCACAGGTATTTTGTTTCTGTCCTTGCAGTGTCCTCTCAATTCCTGTCCACTAGCATAGATGTTGAGATACTTGCTGGGGCTGACTGTTCTCTTGAGTTTGGTTCCTAATTACTGTAGCGGTTTAATTTGAGTGTACGATGTTTGCTTACAGCACCTGAGGTGGAGAACCACAGACTGAGTTTTGGTACTATTGGAATTTGGTCTTTTCTTTCAGCCCCTGGAAGCATGTGTTGTTAGTGTGTCTTGTATTCGCATTTTCATGAGAAATGAAGGATAATATACTGGTGAACTGAACGTATTGCTTACTCCTCCTGTGCGTGTGTGCATGTGTGTGTGTGCGTGTCTGTGGCGCTGGGGATGGAACTCAAGGCCATGTGCTAGGCAAGTGCTGTCCCACTGAGGTACATCCCCAACCGCTGCTCTGCTATTAAGATTTTGAAAGTACATACACCTTGAGCCATTCTGACTTTTAAAGACATTCTTTTTCAGCAGAGTCAGAACTTTTTCTTGGCTGGCTGAGGGATTTAAAGCTTTTGCACTGTCCTTGGCTTCCCTTTGCTCATCTTTGCAGGCATTGAGGCCTTCCTGGCACTTGCTTGTTGGTACCAGGACATTTTCTTGTAAGGGCTTATTTTGATCCTGTGGGTAAGCAGGCAGAAGTTTGAAGGCTCTGCTCATTTGGCAATCCTGACTACTAAGTTGCATTACCCTCTCGCACCTTAACATATTAGAGATTTTTTTTGTCTTTCATAACTAGAGATTTCTTATTTTCTGACATTCAAAAATATTGTCACAATGTATCCCCAGCACAACTAAAAAAAAATTGTGAGAAAAAAGTGTGCTTAGTATTTTTCCTCCCAGAACTGTGTTACAAGGAAACCCTTTCAACAGCTTCGTCTCCGGAGTACGTGGAGGTCACTCTTTGTATGTGGAGGGTGAGGATTCTAAGTTGTACCCTACAGAGAGGAAGCTGAGGGACGTGGGTCACTCGAAGGTACCTGCTTTTCAGGGCCTCCTTAGTATGCATTGCCCTTTTCCGTCCCCAGGGAAATAATCTCTCTTGTCAAGAAGTTGGTAGTAAGGTTGGCTAAGGCAAAACTTTTCTCTTGACCTATGGATAGAAAAGTAATTCATTGTAAGAGAAGAAATGGAAAAGGGACATCTTGAAGGGTGAGTAACGCACTTTTTCCTTGTCTCTAAGTCAAATAAATTTGCGTACATTCATGTTTGAAGTTTTGGTGAAGTCGGTGCTCTGTGATTAAGTGTGACTCATAGTGGCCTTTCCAAACTCAGTGAACGTACTTCAATCAACAGAAGAAGGAATGAGTCTTGGCCTTGCTTTTTCTCCATGTCCAATAGTTCTCTGGGTCCATTCACATAATCTTGATAACAATGTCGTTCCCCTGTTTTAAAACCTGAAAGCAAGCCTTCTTTGCCTCTTAAGTATGTGGCAATATTTTGAACTTCTGTGATTTTTCTGTTCTTTAGGAGATGCCAAAATTGGCAATAACAATGTCAGCTCTTTAAAGAATGATGACTTCACCATGAGGGGTTTTCGGCGCGATGGGAATGCTGAGGAGATCTGGACCGCCTCACAGACCTCAAAACCCTGCGGGAAAAACATTTCCATAGAAACCGCCAATCTGAGGGAGTACGCGAGATATGTGCTGAGGGCCATCTGCCAGCAGGTAGTCCTTCGGTTTTGTTCCCGGTGGCTGGGAGACCTCTGCTCATTGTTTCAGGAAACTGGTCCTGTAGCTGGTGCTTCCTTTCCTGCTAACTACTTTGAAATGATTTCAAATTTGTGGGAAGGTTGCAAGAATAATGAACTCCAGGATCCCTGTAGATGGATTTACCGTGTGTTTTGTGATTCTGTTTGTGGGTGTGAAGTACCATTGCTTCTAAGCCCTCTTAGCACACAGCTAGGATGAAACATGCATCCGCGTACACAATGTGTGTGTGCATTGTCAGGGGTTCAGACTGATGCTTCCACTTCTAGTCCAGCCCTCGCATATTGGTAACACCACCTTGTGTGGAAAGAACCCTGGCTCCTCAAAGCATCTACGATTCGCCTGAGATAGTTCCAGAGCTATTGCACGTATTCTGCCAGGAAAGACAGACTCAAGACATGGCAAGGCTCTGTTTGTTTGCAGTTCCTGTTTTCCTAAGGGTTCAAAAGCTGCTTGAACCTGAGCATGGTGGCACACATCTGTAATCCCAGCACTTGGAGGGAGGCTTAGGTAGGAAGATCATGAGTTTGAGGCAAGCCTGCGTATGTCTCAAAAAGTTATTTGGAAAAACCAAAAAAAGAAAGAAAAACAAGTTATTTGATCTTTCTCCCTTAGTATGAATTTGTTCATAATTTGAAGTGAAATTTGGTTCATTTTTGTTTGCATTTGGTTTAGACTTTTTTTTGTCCCCCTCCCCAGGTGTGTCTATAGAAGAATGTTGTTCATTCTTCTGGTAAAACCCACAAAAAAGTTTACTCATAGATGCATCCTCCCGTCATGTCCCTTCTGTCCCAGACCAATTTCACTATTTTCTGGGCTATCATTCCATGTTTTTAAAAATGCCCTTATTTTAAAAAGCGATGTAGCTTATATTTATATTCTTAGACATGTGGCTTTCAGGGTCATGCCTGGTATTCTATAAGTCTGTGGCAGCCATGACGAAAGTTGGCTGGACAGTTGTCTAGGCACCTAGGGGCCCTTGTGCATTGGTTTCCACTGTGAGTACAGTGGTGTCACTTGGCATTTTTGATGGCTAGAGCTGCACGGAGGCCAGCGATGGTGCTGGCCAGGCCCCTGCTGGCTTCTCACAGCACATCCCAGGTGGGTCTGGGTTAAACCCCATGGGAAACTCTGGGGCCTGACCTATAGTTTTGGTAGCTAAAAATACATAAATGAATGAGTGAACCAAGAATTTGATTCCTAGAAGAGAGTGCCTGGGTAGCAAGCACAAAGCCCTGAGTTCAAACCCCAGTATGCCTCTCCCCCTCCAAAAAAATTTTTTGATGTCTCTGAAAAAAGAAAAAAAACCAGCATGTGAGTACCTGATTTAATTGGCCAGATGCAGGGACCTGGGAGTTTGTAAACTCTCAGATGCTTATGATGGAAACTCAGTGTTGGGCCACTGGTATGGTAGTCAAAAAGCATGATTTATCTGAAATAGGTCTGTGTTCAAACTGAGCTCTTATTGTTGATGACTTTTTTAAATTTTTTAAATTATATTGTCATGCTGGGGGTACATTGTGATATTTATGAAGGTTCTTACGATATACCCTAGCTGAATTCACCCCCTCTATCATTCTTTTTTTTTTTTAATTTTTATTTTATTCATATGTGCATACAGTGTTTGGGTCATTTCTCCCCCATTCCCCTACCCCTCCCTAGCCCTCCCTGCCTCCTCCCACTCCCCCTCTACTGCCTCGCTACCCGGCAGAAACTATTTTGCCCTTATCTCTAATTTTGTTGAAGAGAGAGTATAAGCAATAATAGGAAGGAACAAGGGTTTTTGCTGGTTGAGATAAGGATAGCTATACAGGGAGTTGACTCACATTAATTTCCTGTGCGTGTGTGTTACCTTCTAGGTTAATTCTTTTTGATCTCACCTTTTCTCTAGTCCCTGGTCCCCTTCTCCTATTGGCCTCAGTTGCTTTTAAGGTATATGCTTTAGTTTCTCTGAGTTGAGGGCAACAAATGCTAGCTAGTTTTTTAGGTGTCTTACCTATCCTCACCCCTCCCTTGCGTGCTCTCGCTTTATCATGTGCTCAAAGTCCAATCCCCTTGTTGTGTTTGCCCTTGATCTAATGTCCACATATGAGGGGAGAACATACGATTTTTGGTCTTTTGGGCCGGGCTAACCTCACTCAGAATGATGTTCTCCAATTCCATTCATTTACCAGCGAATGATAACATTTCGTTCTTCTTCATGGCTGCATAAAATTCCATTGTGTATAGATACCACATTTTCTTAATCCATTCATCAGTGGTGGGGCATCTTGGCTGTTTCCATAACTTGGCTATTGTGAATAGTGCCGCAATAAACATGGGTGTGCAGGTGCCTCTGGAGTAACCTGTGTCACAGTCTTTTGGGTATATCCCCAAGAGTGGTATTGCTGGATCAAATGGTAGATCAATGTTTAGATTTTTAAGTAGCCTCCAAATTTTTTTCCAGAGTGGTTGTAATTGTTTACATTCCCACCAGCAGTGTAAGAGGGTTCCTTTTTCCCCCGCATCCTCGCCAACACCTGTTGTTGGTGGTGTTGCCAATGATGGCTATTCTAACAGGGGTGAGGTGGAATCTTAGTGTGGTTTTAATTTGCATTTCCTTTATTGCTAGAGATGGTGAGCATTTTTTCATGTGTTTTTTGGCCATTTGAATTTCTTCTTTTGAGAAAGTTCTGTTTAGCTGTTTAGTTCACTTGCCCATTTCTTTATTGGTTCATTAGTTTTGGGAGAATTTAGTTTTTTAAGTTCCCTATATATTCTGGTTATCAGTCCTTTGTCTGATGTATAGCTGGCAAATATTTTCTCCCACTCTGTGGGTGTTCTCTTCAGTTTAGAGACCATTTCTTTTGTTGAGCAGAAGCTTTTTAGTTTTATGAGGTCCCATTTATCTATGCTATCTCTTAGTTGCTGCGCTGCTGGTGTTTCGTTGAGAAAGTTCTTACCTATACCTACTAACTCCAGAGTATTTCCTACTCTTTCCTGTACCAACTTTAGAGTTTGGGGTCTGATATTAAGATCCTTGATCCATTTTGAGTTAATACTGGTATAGGGTGATATACATGGATCTAGTTTCAGTTTTTTGCAGACTGCTAACCAGTTTTCCCAGCAGTTTTTGTTGAAGAGGCTGTCTTTTCTCCATCTTATATTTTTAGCACCTTTGTCAAAGACAAGTTAGTTATAGTTGTGTGGCTTCATATCTGGGTCCTCTATTCTGTTCCACTGGTCTTCATGTCTGTTTTTGTGCCAGTACCATGCTGTTTTTATTGTTATTGCTTTGTAATATAGTTTGAAGTCAGGTATCGTGATACCTCCAGCGTTGTTCTTTCTTTTGACTGAGTATTGCCTTGGCTATTCGTGGTCTCTTGTGTTTCCATATAAATTTAACGGTAGATTTTTCAGTGTCTTTAATGAATGTCACTGGAATTTTGATGGGAATTGCATTAAACATTGGGTGCATATAGGTGATAATTGTTATTTCCTTTTGGCTTATTTCCTCTTTTATTAGTATGGAATGTCCTTTTTTGTCTCGTTTGATCAATGTAGGTTTGAAGTCTACTTTGTCAGAGATAAGTATTGGTACTCCTGCCTGTTTTCGGGGGCCATCGGCTTGGTAAATCTTCTTCCAGCCTTTCATCCTAAGCCTATGCTTATTTCTGTTGGTGAGATGGGTCTCCTGTAAGCAACAAATTGTTGGATCTTCCTTTTTAATCCATTTCGTCAAGCGGTGCCTTTTGATGGGTGAATTAAGTCCATTAACATTAATCGTTAGTACTGACAGGTATGTGGTGATTCCTGTCATTTAGTTGTCTTAGTTGTTTGAAGGTTTGGTTGTGTGTACCTAAGTTGAGGTTACTCTCTACTGTCTTGCTTTTTCTTTTCCTGTGGTTTGGTGCTGCCTGCCCTTTCATGGTTATGTTGGGTTTCACTTTCTGTGTGCAGAATCCTTTGAAGAATCTTTTGTAGTGGTGGCTTTGTGGTCACATATTGTTTTAGTTTCTGCTTATCATGGAAGACTTTTATTGCTCCATCTATTTTGAATGATAGTTTTGCCGGGTAGAGTATCCTGGGGTTGAAGTTATTTTCATTCAGTGCCCGGAAGATCTAACCCCAAACTCTTCTTGCTTTTAATGTTTCTGTTGAGAAGTCTGCTGTGATTTTGATGGGTTATTTGTTTTTTCACTTTTACAGCCTTCAGTATTCTTTCTTGGGTCTCTGTATTTGTTGTTTTAATGATGATATGCCGTGGGGTAGTTCTATTTTGATCTGGTCTGTTTGGTGTCCTGGAGGCCTCTTGCATCTGTGTGGGAATAGATTTCTCTAGATTTGGGAAATTTCCGTTATTATTTTGTTGAATATATTATGCATTTCCTTTGCTTGCACCTCTTCTCCTTCTTCAGTGCCCATGATTCTCAGGTTTGGTCTTTTGATGGAGTTGGTGAGTTCTTGCATTTTCTTTTCACAGGTCTTGAGTTGTTTGTTTAATAGTTCTGCGGTTTTTCCTTTAATTACCATTTCATCTTCAAGTTCTGAGATTCTGTCTTCTGTTTGTTCTGTTCTGCTGGGTTGGCCTTCCGTTTTGTTTTGAAATTGTTTCATTCTTTTTTCTGAGGTTTTCCATATCCTGGGTGGTTTCCTCTTTAATGTTGTCTATTTTTGTCCTGAGTTCATTTATCTCTTTATTAATCGTGTTCTGTGTTTCACTTTGGTGTTTATACAGTGCTTCTATGGTTTCCTTTATTTCTTCGTTTGCTTTTTCAAATTCTCTGTTTTTGTTGTCTTGGAATTTCTTGAGTGTCTCCTGTACATTTTGGTTGACCCTATCCAGTATCATCTCTATAAAATTCTCATTGAGTACCTGTAGTATTTCTTCTTTTAGATTATTCTTGTGGGCTTCATTGGGTCCTTTGGCATCGTTTATCTTCATTTTGTTGGAGTGTGGATCTGAGTATCTGTTTTCTTCATTCCCTCTGGTTCCTGTACTAATTTTTTGCTGTGGGGAAACTGGTTTCCCTGTTTTTTCTGTCTTCCCGTCATTGCCCTTGGTGTTGTTATTGTCCCTGTACTGTATGCAATTACGTATTTTCTAGCTTGTAATAATAACAATGATGATAATAACAATGGTGATATTTAGAATGGAAGGGTGAGAGGGAAAGCAAAGAAGTTAAAGAAAAAGGGAAAAACAAATAAACAAGTAGAAAAAACAAAACAAACAAGCAAACAAAAGTTTCAAAGATATAAACAGGGAGAGATAGTATACTAATCAACAGTAAGCTTGTGGTCTGCATCTTCCCAAGCGGTCTGGGCACTGGTGTCTGGCAGCGGTGTGGGAACCCTCCTGGTTTCTCCGTTTGACGTGAAGTAGAGATGCTATGTGTGGGGTGGGGGTGTGGAGGAGGCAAAGTTTTGCCTCTTCTCGGTGGTTTTTCCTTTAATTTGTATCTCCAGCATCTCTCCCAAGATTTTACTTTAGGAAGCACGCTTTCTGCTTCCTCCCTCTAGCCGCCATCTTGGAATCTCCCCCTCTATCATTCTGTTGACAATTTCCTTCCCTATGTAGTATAAGAAGAAATGGGGAAGAAAAGGAGCCAAGAATTTAAATTGGCAGAAACTGCAGAACATGGTCCTTGTGTACACCTGTAGCCTTAGGTTTCTACTCTGCCCTTTGTGGTTATTGTAAGAAATAATTGTATAGAAGATGCATGTGCACAATCATTTATTTGTGGTAGTAACACTATACCTAACAGTATCAAAAAGAAGATGTTGTCTAAATATCTGTTAGTTTGTGTTCTGTCTGTTCAGCACAGTGTACTGCAGTGTATCCCAGAGATGCTGAAGAAGCTACATCAGAGACCAGTAAAAGTCTCAGTGTTCGTAGTTCCCACAAATCCCCATTGCCAGTTGAAAATACAAACCAGTATTTGTTTGTATTTTCTTTTGCTGCATATCTGCTTTAAATTTTTTTTTTTTTTTGTGGCACTGGAGTTTGAATTTGGGGTCTTATGCCTGCTACCACTTGAGCCACACCCCCCATCCCCTTTTTGCTTTGATTATTTTTTGGATAGGGTCTCCACAGTTTTTGCCCTGTCCAGCCTGGACCATAGTCTTCCTGTTTACTCCTCTTGAATAGCTGGGAGGACAGGCACAGTTCACCATGCCCAGCTTTTGGTGGAGAAGGGGACTCACCTACTTTTTGCCTGGGCTGGCCTTGAACCATGATCCTCCTGATCTCCACCTCCTGAGTAGCTAGGATTACAGACATGAACCACTGCATCCAGCCTTAAAGTTTTTTCTTTAGCTGGGATTCCACTTTGTGTTTTTAAGAAGTCAGATTTCTACTCTGTACACGTCTATGGAATTATCACAATGAAGCACCCATGTGCTTTTATTAATGGGTGCTAATAAAAAACTATCAAAATTAAATTAAGTCAAAATGCTATAAATTTTGTTTTCAAAGCTTCTTCTGTGTTTTTCATGTAATTATTACTGGTGAGTTTTTACCAGCCTTCTATGCCATTTTGCTCTGAGAATTTAGTACATTGCACCTCAGTGTGTAATAACCCTAACTGCCATGTCAATTTCAGGAATGGGTAGGCGAGCACTGCTTAAAAGAACCCGAAAGGCTTTGTACAGACAAGGAGCTCATCCTGGACCCTGTGCTCTCGAACATGCAGGCACAGAAGTTACTGCAGCTCATCTGCTACCCCCATGGCATCAAGGAATGTGTGGAGGGGGACGACATGCAAAGACAGCACATCAAGCGTATCCTGCAGGTATGCCTGCCAGCACCTCCCTCCTGACCACGCTCGAGTTCCTTCAGCTTGACTCTTGTTCCTCCAGTTTTCTCCTCTTTAGAGTTGCCATTTATTGTCAACAGTGATGAGGTAAACCTGGTATTTCCAGTCAGTACTATATCTACACAGGATGCAGTCTCATCTGGGAGCATCTTAAGTATATTATCTGAGAAATATTAAAGTGACTTTGGTAGATAATAGGTTTGGGAGGAGAAATGCTTGTCCTGTGTGTTTCTCCTTCTGTCCGAGTCAGGGGTGTGACTTTGATGTTGCCGCTTCCTTATTTCTGCGTGTGCCTACAATTGGATCGGAAGTCTTTAATCCATGTCAGCTCTTTGGTTGTGTGTGACTGCTTATGCTGCTCTTTCTTGAGCAGGGGAATGCTTTCGGGACCTGTTATGTGGTAACGTAGGTTCAGTGTTCTTACACTATAAATTCTTTCATTTTCTCAGAATCTTGAGCAGTGGACATTGAGGCAGTCATGGCTGGAGCTTCAGTTAATGATCAAACAGTGCCTGAAGGACCCTGTGAGTATGCCTCCAATGAGCCAGGAAGAGTGAAATCACATGATGTCAGGATAAAGGAGTCTTTCTTACTTCCGCCTACAGGGCTCTGGTTCCATGGCTGAAATGAACAACTTGCTGGACAACATTGCAAAGGCAACAATTGAGGTCTTCCAGCAGTCTGCCGACCTGAGTAACAGCTCCTCTAACCCTGGTGTGAGCCTTTTCAACCCCAGCACAATTGGGAGCACTGAGTCCAACAGCGCGAGGCGAAGTGGAGCAAAGACATTCCTGAGGTGGTGTTAACGTGGGTCCCCTGCCCATCATGAGCTCTTCACATGGAGAGTAACTTGTTCACGAAGCTGCAGGAAGTGTGGAGAAAGTAATCCCTGCTCAGTGAAAGTTACCATTCCTCAACAAGTTAAAGGGTAAAGGTGGGGTGCATGATAAGTCTTTGGTCAAGTACTCTCAGAGGCCTTGGAACCACAGATGAAGTCAGGCTTGATTCATGACATCAGTGTCTTTAGGCTATTGCGTTCCATGGTATTAATTTAAATATGAAATACTTTTTCTTTCATCTGTATGGAACTGGCAGTTTTGCACAAATAGAATGTGGTAATTTGCATTCAGAATTAGAACCAGTTGGGGTATGAAATAGTAAAGCAATCCTTTAATCATGAAAAGCAGACTGATTTGTGTTTTGTTATTTTGATTAAAAAAAGACCAACTAGTGAATTTTAAAACTCAAAAATGTTTATTATTCCTAGGCTTAAACACAATAATACTTCTTATCATAATCATTATCAAAAAGTGTATTGTTTGTGGAGAAGGTCATTGTTTGTAATCAGTGAGCCAGAATCGTAGAGAACTGCTAAAATTATTGAGTCTATAGAGTACCCCCAGAATGGCTGCCTGTTGTTCTCCATATGTGTGGGTAGAGAGCAGGTGCATGTCTGCTCTTTGCCAGAGGAAGGAGCACAGAAATCAGGGAGATTGGAGACCAAGGTGTCTTGCACCGCACAGGTTTGTTTGGCGTCTCTGTCCTAACTGTGAGCAGAAACTCGGCTTCTTTCTCAGAGTAACGCCTGTTTCTGATTTCAGTTCCTCTGAACGCAGGGGCGTGTGGCTGGTGGCCCCTCTCATTGCCAGACTGCCAACCTCCGTGCAGGGCCGTGTGTTGAAGGCTGCCGGGGAGGAGCTGGAGAAGGGGCAGCACTTGGGCTCTTCCTCCAAGAAGGAAAGGGACAGGCAGAAGCAAAAAAGGTATGGCCAGAGGGAGTCTTTCCACTTAATGCCAGAGAGCACCTGTGGGGTCGCCATGAGCATCACACCAGGCCACCAGCAGTCAGCCCTCAAATGGGTTGGGAAGCCTTCCATTGGAGAGGCTCCATCCCCCAAAACTCCACATTGAGCACTTGGCACACTGTGCTGCCTGTGGTGCAGACGTCACCAAACCTTTAAAACACTAACTTTCCAGCCCTGTTCCAGATCAGTGCAGTGGGGGCTGGGTAGCCACCAGCATTCTGTACTTTTTTTTTTTTACTTTCTCTAATTTTTTACAATTAGGTTCTAGTCTTTAAAATACTTAGCATTGTAATTCTAGCATGCTGGTCTCTGAAATGGATTCTCATATTTGCAGTTTTTCGAATTCTAGTTCTAGACTAGATATTTAAACTTTTAAGTCATCAAGGCTACAGTTTTCTTAATTTATTTTATGCCCTCAAAAAAGGTTTAAACAGCTTCTTTTGAAAACTAATCATATTACTCAGGATGAATAAATTTCACATTATGAATTTAACATCCCAGGAGTAAAGGGAAAAGTAGTAATTTCTTTCACTTTATAAAAGTCCCTTCATTCTGGCTTCTTGTCCCTGGCTTAACAGTGCTGTCAGAGCCACCCTTTATTGGCCTCTTGTGAAATGCCAACTTGTGGACATAAGCTGATTGATTTTCAAGAACTCTTTCCTGCTGATACACCACTGGCTTTGTCAGTTGCTCATTGTGCAACATACTTTATTAAAATGCCATTTTAAATTAGAATTTTTGACAAATGTCTTTTCATCTGAATGGTAGTACTGGAGTTTGAACTCAGGACCTCAAGCTTTCCAGGCAAACACTCTGCCACTTCATCCACACCACCAGTCCTTTTTTGCTATATTTTTCAAGTAGGGTCTCAAGTTTTTGTCCAGGCTAGCCTCAGACCTAGATCCAACTGCCTACCCCTCCCATATAGCTGGAATTATAGGCATGTGACATACTGATTGAAATGGGGTCTCACTTTTTGTCTGGGCTGCTCAAATCGTGATCCTACCTAGTCTCTGCCTCCTGAATAATTAGGATTACAGGTGTGAGCCACCGTGCCCAGCCCTCACCAAGTGTCTTGAAATCCCCTTATGAATGGAGGTTATGGGCTGTTCAAAAACCAGGTACAGGGGTTGTTAGCAATAACCCTGCTTTCAGCATCCTCTTGCTTGTGACTAATCTGAACCTTACCAGTACTCTGCTGTGTGGTTGTAAGAAACATGCTGTAAAAGAAAGGGGAACCCCAATATCATCACAGCACACTTAGAGCTCTGCCTCCTTAATTGTAAGAAAAAGCCCATGTATAGATTCGTATTGTGTCTTATGCCTCTTTGAAAATTCTCCTAGTTAATGTAAAACAAATTGAGAGCCAGCTTCCCCTCCCTTGCAGCACTGGTGTGCAGTGTGGATCTGAGCTCCTTTGGGAATGCCTTCCTTGGCCATGGAGCACATTACCTCATTTGTCAGCATTGCAGTGGCTCTGGGGATCTTGTTAAGTACAGGAATTATTTAACCCCTCAAGTGTTCTCTGGCTACCTCCTCCTTACCTAATCACAAATAAAGTAAGGGCAGATAACCAGGGGAGAAACACGCGTGTTACAACAGGAAGCAGTCCGTCTTCTCTAACTAGCCCTGCCGCTACGCTTCCTTTGCAGTATGTCTCTACTGAGTCAACAGCCTTTCCTCTCACTGGTCCTAACCTGTCTGAAGGGACAGGACGAGCAACGGGAAGGCCTGCTAACATCTCTCCAGAATCAAGTTAACCAGGTAAAGTCAAGTCTGATAGTCAGCCAGGCAAGTGTCTTCCTAATGGTGTTCATTTGATTTCCTTCCACATTCTGAGATTGAGTAAACAAGAGCACAGCGTGTTTTGATTGGATCAGATGCTGGGACGTGTGACCCATATGGTGGCATTCTGGTCAGCCACAGGTTAACAGTTTTACAATGTTAACCACTTACATAACAAATGTATAGACTACAAAGAAAATACTTTGAAGCACAGAGCTGCCCCTCCCCTAAATGTCTCAAGAGAGGAACTGGTGCAACCTGTACCTCAGTAAGTATGGTGGTGACAGGAGCAGCCCTTCTCCCCAGGTGGGGGACAGCATGACACAGGGCTTCCACATAGCAGGCAGGGTCTTGGCTTGAGCTCTGAAGGTTAGAACTCTTTTATTGGGCTGCCAGAGCTGGTGTGATGCCAGCCAACTGCATAAGTAACTTGCTTGTAGTCAGAAGGTGTCACTTGCTGACTGGCCTCATTCTCAGAGTTGGTGTTGCTGTTTCACCACCCTGGCTCTCCTGACAGCTGGTTGGGACACTGCATTCTGTATGCCGTGTGTAAGCTGAGTGATAGCATGCAATCCAGCCGAGCGAATAGTGTGGCTGTGTGAGACGGTTTGTACCATGCAGAGCCAGATGGACCCCTCCTTGTGGTGCTGTGTCTGTGATGCCACATCTTTCTCCCAAGTGGTTCATCACCTCCCACCTGCTGGATGTGAGAGATTTTTCCTCTACACAGCTGCCAGAGTGAGCCATTCAAGACCGAGTCACACATGACTCTGGTGTCTGTCTAAAACGCTGCCATTTTCTCATTGTACTTCAGATAAAAATTCACATTCAAAGCTAACAGAGCCCTAACAGCCTTGGCATGTGCTCTTCCTCCTCCTGTCACCAGCCATGGCCTTGCTTGCTCCACTCTGTCACATTGGCTGTGTTTCACTCCTCACTTGGCTCAGTGCCTGCTCATCCTTTCTTCCTCTGGGCTGGAAGGACTCTGCGGATGTTCCTGGCCGGCCTCCTCACTTCATTTAGGTCTCTGTGTGTTGCCTCCTTACTGAGGCCACTGTCAACCTCTGTCGTTCTGTCCCCTTGCCCTGCTTTAAACACCTGGCTGCACTTGACTGACTTCTGTCTGTCCCACTGCTCTTCTGCAAACCTCCTTGAGAGCCTTTGTGTTGTTAACTTCCCTGCACTTTAGTTCAGCCATGGGAAAGACCACGCAGTGCACTTATAGTCATCTGTACAAAGTATTACTTCTTGCCTGGCGTGATGGTGCACACCTGTAATCCCAGCTACTCAGGAGGTGGATATCTGGAGGATCATGGGTCAAGGCCAGCCTGGGCAAAAATTCAGCAAGACCTTGTCTCAAAGAAAAAACGCACACACCCGTATTGACAGCTATGCAAGAAGCATATGTAGGAGACTCATGGTCCAGTGCTGGCCCTGGACAAAAAAATAACTAAAGCAAAAGAAGGTCAGAGGCGTGACTGAAGTGGTAGCACACCTACCTAGCAAATGTGCGGCCCCGAGTTCGAACCCCAGTACCACCAAAAAATAGCAACAAAAGAAATGTTCTGTGACTCATTTTAGCTCTTCTGGGGAAGTTCATGTTCACTACTGTGTTTCAAGCATGGCAAGGTTTTGTTTGTCCCTGCATGTCTGACATCTGATTCGGGGTGTGGTCCACTGGGGCTGTCCTTCCTCCCTAGCAGCAGCCTGTTTCCTGACCTGATCTGCTGAGCTGTCACATCTTCCAAAATAGAGTTCATCCTCTTTATCAAGGAAAAAGTCCATTAGACAGCAAGCCTGCCCTCTAATAAACAAGTGATGCCAAGGTTCACAGCACAGGATGAGTATAAAATGTAGTTCTGGCTCCAATATAAAACCAATTAAATAATGTACTGAAAACTTTTGTTAAAAAGTACTTGAATATTAAAGGATTAATATCCACAATATACAAAGAGCTCCAAAAATTACACACCAAAATAATAAATAACCCAGGAAAGTGAATTGAACACCCAGTTTTCTAAAGATGTAATAGTAATGGCCAATAAATTCATGAGGAAATTTTCAGCATCCTTAACCATAAAGGAAATGCAAATCAAAACATCATTGAGGTTCCATCTCACCCCAGTCAAAATGGCCGTCACTAACAAAATAAGCCACAGCAAATGTTGGCCAGGATGCAGAAAAAGGAGTCTTTATTTACTGTTGGTAGGAATGTGAGTTAGTGTGGACACTGTGGAAATCAGAATGGAAGCTCCTCAAAAAAACTAAAATGAGAACTATCTATGACTCCATTATACCACTCCTGGACGTATATCCCAAGGAATGTAAGTCAAGATACGACGACACCTGCACACCCATGTTTACAGCAGCGCTATTCCCAAGAGCCAACGTACAGAATCAGCCCAGGTGCTCGTTCACCAACGAACAGATAAAGAAAACATGGTATATACACAATGGAGCACTCCCTGGCCATGATGGATAGTGAAATTAAGTTGTTTGCAGGAAAATGAGTGGAACTAGAGATGGTCGTGTTAAGTGAAATAAACCAGGCAGGGAAAGATTATCACATGCCCTCCCCCAAATCTAGCTTTTAAAAAGGAGCAGCAGGAAAGTAAAGCAGGTCCTGTCTGGAGGTGGGAACCAGCAGGACAGTGGAGGGTGAGGGAGGGGTGAATATGGTTGAAGTACTTTATACATGTGTGAAAACAGAATTTGAAACCTACTGAAATCATTTTAAGATGGGGGATAAAGGGGATGAATTTGATTGATGTACATTGTATGCATGTGTGGAAATACCATGAAGAAACCCCTTTGTACGGACTAATATATGCTCTCTTTGCAACTGGAGAGGCAAATGAACAGTGGGATAGGCAGGAAGAGGAGGGAGGCTGGAGTTTTATTGAACATTGTTGATTGTTCAAGCTAAGAAGTTGTTTTGTTTATCAATTAAAAGCTCAATTTAAGTTCAAACATGAGAAAAATTCAGTTTTAACAGAGATGAAATCCTTTCCCTCTTTCTTTCTTTCCCTGGCCTTAGATTTTAAGTAACTGGAGGGAAGAACGGTATCAGGATGACATCAGAGCACGGCAGATGATGCATGAGGCCTTGCAGCTCCGTTTAAACTTGGTGAGGGGCGCTCGAGAACTTTCTCCCCTTTGCAAAGACAGGCAGGGCTCCACCCTGTGCTTCCCTTTCCTCCCCAGACTGGGCTTCCTGGCTGCTTCCCTCCTGTCTGGGCTGAGCTCTGGACTTGTCTCCTCCAGGTCAGACCCCACCCAGCAAGTCTGTCCTCTCTTCAGTGTGCTAAGGAGGTCCAGGGGGCTGCTACTTTGAGATGAGCATTAGTTGTTACTTAGTTAACAACCATAAATCCTTCCACACAGAAGAGTGACCAAGTTTCCATCAAACTGATCAGAGGACCACTCTCACAGGGATGTTTTATAGAAATTTAAAATTTGTCACATATTGTGCATCCCTTTGCACAATTTCTTTCCCCATTGTGCAGACGCGTACGTAGACTATTCTTGGCCAGGCCTTTGTTGCTTTTATCCTGATCCCTACACACTTGAACTGGCAGCCTGGGAGCCGGCTCTCCTGCTGCACTCACTACTTGCAGAAGTGTTTGGGGTATTTCATCACAGACTTAGATTCAGTAGTACCTGAACAACACAAAGTTGCAGATAATGGGATACATGGTTTTGACACTGTATGTCTTAAAAGTGAACATCATGAAAGATTAGGAAGAAAATGCTTTATTAGTGTTCACGTTAAAGTGTTACCTTTCTCTATTTTATTGAATTTTGGAATGACAAAACTGTTGTAGGAACCAAAAATATTAATAACTCCCAAGTGAGAAAGAAGACAGGATAATTTATAGCCTGTGAGGCAGAATGGCCCTCTCTCCCTCAGCCTCTCTCTCTTTTTCAAAACCTCTCTCTCCTTCCCTCCCTCCCCCTCTTTCTCTCCCTCCCTCCCCCTCCCCACCCCCTTTTCCTCTCTCCCCCCGCCATTTCCTCTCTTCCCTCTGTGTTTGGGTCTTGCAGCAATGGGGTGGACCTGGCCCCTTGCAGAAAGAAAGCTGACCTTCCACTGTCTTGCTGCAGGTAGGAGGGATGTTTGACACAGTGCAGCGGAGCACCCAGTGGACCACTGACTGGGCCCTGCTGCTCCTTCAGATAATCACCTCTGGGACGGTTGACATGCACACCAACAAGTAAGTGTGCTCTCCTCAGCACCACGTGCACTGTGATGTACCAATGGCAAATCCTGCTGCAGCTTTGCTGGCTTAGGTCATATTAAAAACTGCCTTCAGTAGAAGTGCTGAGTTATCAAGGGTATCCTGATTTTACGTTAAGATTCAAATGGCGTCTTCTTTCCCCTCCCAGTGAATTATTCACCACGGTTCTGGACATGCTGGGGGTTTTAATCAATGGGACGTTAGCCTCTGACCTCTCGAGCGCCTCCCCTGGGGGCTCGGAAGAGAACAAACGCGCGTACATGAACTTGGTGAAGAAACTGAAAGTAAGTGTGTGACGGCTTCTGCTGTAAGATCAAGCTGGCTGTGGGTTTGCTGTCTTGTGCATTCTGTTTTAACTTATGACTCACTAATTTAGAAATCTATTGTGTTCAACTTAACTTAATGTGATTATTTGTTACTGTTTTACCTCAGCATGTCAGCCCCCGAAGTAACAAGTATGTCATCCTGAAGATTCTTAAAAAATACTATATTTACAAAACATGTCTAGTTTTTAAGAAACTTTTGAAATTCATTATCAAATATATAACCAAAATGCCAACAGTAGATTCAAGTAAATCCTAGTGTGAAAAATAAGCAAACCATTAACAACAACCTTTGAAAAACACTAAGCGAACAGTGCAGAAAAGGAAATTATAAGAAGTTTGTCAATAAAATACACAATGGTTACCTTGCGGTCTGGCCCTGGACACTGGGATGTGTTCTGTGCCGCAGCTCTTGCCTTCCAATTGCAGTGCTAGAGGGGATTTTTGTCATTTCAGCACTGTGATGTTCTTGAGTAACAAGACTGCCTTTGTGTTTGTTCTGTTTGCTACTTGAATGGAGAAATGAAACATGCCACTTGACCTGGAGCTGGTCCACAGCCCATGTCCAGGGTTAAAGATCATGCTAGCTGTGAAGAAGGAACTGTTCTGTGGGGGAACTTCCTTCTTGGTAACTTTTGCCTTCTTCATGACTCGTAAATCTCCATCCCACTTCTCTCTCTGTCTCTCTCTGTCTCTGTCTCTGTCTCTGTCTCTCTCTCTCTCTCTCTCTCTCTTTCTATCTCTCTCTCTCTCTCTCTCCCTCTCTCTCTCTCTCTCTCATAGAAGGAGCTAGGAGACAAGCGTTCAGAAAGCATTGACAGAGTTCGACAGTTGCTCCCTTTGCCAAAACAGACGTGCGATGTCATCACTTGTGAACCTATGGGCTCTTTGATCGACACAAAGGGAAACAAAATTGCTGGATTTGACTCTATAGATAAAAAACAGGCAAGAGTAACTGTTTCTCTCCTGCACAAATACATCTGTTGGCAGAAGTCTTCCCGGAGGGTATAGAAAGCACCTCAGTTGTATAGACTTTGATTTTCTTGGGGCATATTTTTGTCATCTAAATACAGTAGCCATTGCACTATAATATCAGTAGGTTAGATCTTTGAAGACCTCCTTTAATGCTTTTCTGAAATCTATTAAGGGGAAGCTAAGTAAAGCCTAGTGCAATAAATTGCAAGCAAAGACCAATTGTGACTTTGCTTTAGAATTGGAAACAAAGTATCTTCAGATAAGAAAGTTTTATTAATACATACTAAGCAAGATATTTCAAGTAAAATTTAAATGTTATTGTACTTCATATTTTTCGTGTGTTTTTGTTTTGTTTGTTTTTGTTTTGAGACAGGGTCTTGCTGTGTAATTCAGGCTGGCCTCAAACTTGAGTTCCCCCTGCCTCAGCCTCCCCTAACCCTAACCATATATCACCATGTGTGGCCATGCTGCCTAATATTCTTACCAGTCAGGTGATATCAAGTGGGCATTTATTTTATATAAGACATGGAAGAAGGCTTTCTGAAATAGAAGAGTGGTCAGTTACTTCTTCAATGAAGATTGGGCAGCCCATAGACATTATGCCACAATAGATAAAAGACGAGGCTCGCACCTCCATCTCAATAGGAGGTAGATGATTCCAGTGTGATGGGGGTTGTTCGTGGAACCGAGAGCAGTGGGGCCCTGAGGAATGGCCATCACACTCAGGCAGGGTCCCTAGAGGGGTTGGCATGTGTGCTGTTTGAAGGCCTGAGAACTAGCAGGGATGGGAGGTGGAGAAAGTGTGAAGAAGGGTGCAGGCAGAGGGATGGGCTCCTCCTATAAAGCCATGGAGGTGAGTGACTGTCACAGGAAATGTAAGGCTACCATGATTGAGAGTCCAGCACCAGCTGGTTATGGACAGGAAGATGCTGGGGTCAGTGCAGGTTGCATTTGGGCTCTCTAGCAAGACATCCAGAATCCATTCAGATGTGTGCTCTGCCTACTGGAAAAGAGTTTCATTTAAAGACCTGTGTTAGGAATGGTAATTAATAGAGTCTCAGTTTTGGAAGAAGCCACCTATAACAGAGTAAGAAGAGGAGTACTCACATCTTGGGGAGTGGACTGATAGGTTATTTGGAGCCATTTTGAGGAGAAATGTGTTTGAATTGGTGCACTGGGCATGTTCTATGGGATATCACCAATTAATGTTCACTCTCAGGAAATGTTACTTTTAGAAACAAAGTAACATTCCTCTTCTAAAGTCAATAGAGAGAAACAGGAGTTGAAAAATGGTTTGTAACTGCTTTTGTGATTGAATTCTGTCACAACATTAATTTGTTCAGAGACTGCCTCCTTAAGGATGTGAAAGGTCCCTCCCTACATGGAATCAAGTCCACACAGGCTTGGACTGAAGTTATTATGAGCCCGATTAGAGGGGATGTGATCTTGGCTCTTAAATGCTGTGTTATCTTAAAAATAATAAGTAGATAGCGGAGATTAGTAGCTGGTTATAATTTGGCGTAGTAAGACCAGTTTTGCAGTATTAAAGGAAAAGATTGTTTTGCTAAAACAAATGAAATGAGAAATGCTGTTTTACAGTAAAATAGACTGTCCTGTGTTGCCTGAATGGAGTGTGGAGTGGGGCAAGGAACTGTAGGGCTGAACACTGAGGTCTCTGTGTTCCCTTGTAGCCTCCAGTGACCTGTGTGTGCTGGCTCTCTGAGGCCACCCGGCCCAGATGCCTGAGTCCCCATCCTCAGTGGTCTGTGTATGCTGGGTCTCTGAGGCTACCCTGGCCCAGATGGCCTGAGTCCCCATCCTCAGTGACCTGTCTCTCTGAGGCCACCCAGCCCGATGTCCTGAGTCCCCATCCTCAGCAAGCCTGCCTGCAAGTCAGGAGCACATTGTCTCAGCATCCTTTCACCACAGGGTCTGCAGGTCTCTACGAAGCAGAAGGTGTCCCCATGGGACTTGTTTGAGGGTCAGAAGAACCCAGCCCCTCTGTCCTGGGCCTGGTTCGGGACCGTCCGTGTAGACCGGAAGGTGGTCAAGTATGAGGAACAGCATCATCTCCTGCTGTACCACACGCACCCCATGCCAAAGCCCCGCAGCTACTTCCTTGAGCCTCTGCCCCTGCCTCCTGAGGAGGAAGAGGAAGAGCCCATGTCCCCAGTGTCTCAGGAACCAGAACGGAAATCAGCTGAATCATCAGATCAGGGAAAAGCCACAGCCGATGAGGAGAAGAAGACCAAGGGGAGGAAGCGCAAGACCAAGTCCAGCTCCCGGGCAGACGTGAGTAGGAGTGGGAGGGGCCTCGCCCCTGTGGCACCCAGAGTGAGTTTACTACTGGCCAGACTGTATTGTATCCCTACACCGCTGTGGGTGGGACAAGCTTAGGCCATAACTAACTGAATGGCACAGGTGAAGGTGTAAAGACTGGGGTTTTCCCTGCTCTGCTTTTAACTTTAGGCTTCTGTTGTGAACAATATTGAGTTAATATTTCAGTGTCTCATAATTTCCCCAAGCTTGGAACTTTAGCTTTTAGAACTATAAAATCTCTTTGTGTTACATAGTTTTATTGTTAGGTATGTTTAAAATGTTTATTTTACTTTGGGTGATTGAGATCTGCAATAAATTACCATCCAAAAGCTTTTCCCTGTGTAAGTTTACATCTGACTCATCCAGTAGGGTACTCTCGAGAGTTCTTATTTCACCATTGAATCTTACCCTCATGATTATTCTACTTTTTACCATGCTTTCAGATTTCAGAAAAGATAAAATAATCTTAGTTTAAAATAGCTTAACAGCTTGTTTTCCTTTTTGTGTTCCTTACCAATAATAATGTTTTTTTCAAGCAACAGAAATCTGGGCTGGGCATGGTGGCACCTGCCTGTAATTCCAGTTACTCAGGAGGCAGAGATAGGAAGATGGTGGTCCAAGGCCAGGCACCCAGGCAAAAGCACAAGACCCTATCTGAAAAGTGTGGCTCAAATGGTAGAGCACTTGTCTTGCATGCATGAGATCCTGAGTGCAAACCTCAATACTGTTTTGAAAAAAACATACAGATAGATGCTAATTTAGCATGATTTTACAGAACATGACAATGCTTAAATATCTTTCTGTTTAAATTTACCTGGAAAATACTTGAGAATTTGAGATAATTTTCTATAAAACTCAAGGATTTCTTGATGTACAGTTTAAGAATACTCACATACAGTATTTATCTGAACATTTGTGAGTAATTATTGCTGTTTGCCTATGTCAGGGCCAACACCTGTGTCTTCCTGCTGAGAGATGGTGGTCACCACCTTCTCCAAACGCTGTTGGTCCTTTGAGAGCTACTCAAATGTCAGCACCCCATGCTCATTGGGTTTCCCTCCGGTGGTCCTCAGTCTGATCCAGACAGACTCTCCTCCAAATCTAGGGTATCGAGCCCACCAAGCTGCATGGATCAAAACTTTGAACCCCTCTCGCTGCCCAGGGCGTGTGACCTCCTTCAGTCTCCTCCTGGAGTTGGCACTTCCCAGTGGGATGTGTCCTTGTGTAAAATTGCAGGGGTGTGAGATCCTCAGAGACCTGCAGCTGCTAAGGAGGAGGGATAGGAGACAGGGGTGCCCACTTTTGAGCATAGGGGGCAGGGGTGTCCACTTTGGAGGCTGTGCTACAAACTCCAAGTAAGATACCGTCTGGCTGGAAATGCTCCTGAAGCACTGTGTGCCTTCCTGGCATAATTCTCACTGACCTCTGCTCACTGTCCCCTGGGTGGTGCTGAGAATCAGTCTCAGGGCCTTGTGTGTGTCAGGCAAAGGCTGCACTACTGAGCCCCACCCCGACCAAACACTTGTAAGTCAAGGAAAGGTTTAGCTTGTGTGAGTGCTTTACAGAGAAGAGACACAGCCTCATGTCTTCATGGGTGGTTTGCGTTCATTAGCCACGAGGTATGCAGAGCTAAACTTGTCTTTCTCATCTTTATGTTGAAGGACTACCCGCAGGGCAGCATATACCGAGTGCCTCCTAATTACTCCCCCATTTCTTCCCAAATGATGCATCATCCACCGTCCACCTTGTGGGGTTACAACCTTGTTGGCCAGCCCCAGCAGCCTGGCTTTTTCCTTCAGAACCAATCTCTCACTCCAGGTATGTAACAGGAGAGCCCACGTGGGTTGCTTCAGAGGAGAAACAGCTTGGGGTTCTCTTTGCTTTCAGCCTGAGACCTCCACAGAAGCGGGGAAGCTTAGGCATTGCATGCTCAGTTGACATTGTATGATTCCCTCCACTCACAAAATGCTTTTCTTCTTCTGAAATAAGACAAGGTTTCAGCCTGGCACAGTACTTCATGCCTATAGTCCCAGCTACTGTGGAGGCTGAAGCAGGAGGATCACTAGAGCTCAGGAGTGCAAGAAAATATATAAACAGATAAATAATAAAGAAGACTGAAATTACAAGTATGTAAAGCCTATGATTATAGGCTTTCCAGCCAGTGTTAGAAGGAAATTGCCACCAATTAAAGTGTAAGCTATAAGATACAAAGTTGATAAAAGTTTATGTTGTCAAATTTGTATACCTTTTTATTGGCTGTAATTCTTATTAGCATTTTTAAAGATCAGGTGATACTATAGTGCCTTTTGTTATCTTATATTGTGAATCTTTAATTATATCACGCAGTGACTGAGAAATGTAGTTTGGCAGGTAGAATTAGACATCAACAAGAGAAACTAAATCACAGAAAATGTGTCCTTGTTCTAACTCAATTAGATTTTATAACTCAGCTGAGGATGGGTGTAGAAAGTGATGCTCAGTTGTCCTTTTTTTTTTACCAATTCCAGCATCCATGGTGATTTTAAACCTCACAAATACCAAAGAGAAACACAGGTTTCACTTTGTGAAAGAACATTCCTTTTCCCCTAGAAAACCATAGATAGGTTTTTATAAGTTGAGGAACTTTAGATACTAGGTACAATGTAAGAAAAACAGTTTTGAAGAAGAAAATTATTTATGGGGTTATTAAATAAGTGGATTAATACAATTTTTTGTATGAAGAGAACCCTAAGCCAGATGTTGGTGGCTCACACCTGTAATCCTGGCTACACCAGAAGCTAAGATCAGGAGGATCTCGGTTCCAGGCCAGCCCAGGCAAAAAAGCTTACAAGACCCCATCTCAGTGGGAAAATCCTAGGCGTGGCACACATATGTACAGAGGATGTTAGCCATGTTTTTGGCATCTGTTTCTTCAGTTGCTCAGAGGTACAAGATCATAGAAGAGTCAGGGAGACCAGAAGAAAGTAGATTCAAGTCATTTTGAGATGTTTCTTCTCTGTGAGTGAGTCTGTGTGTCGGTGTAGTTCCAGTTCGTGCTGCAACAGAAGTTACGTAACTTCCCATTGCTTTTCAAACGGTCTTGAGACACCATGAATGACCTCATAAATTGTATTGCTGGTTGTACTGCTGAGTCTGTAAAATAATGTCGGCTTTCCAGGTGACCAGATTTAAAATGTTTGTTTCCCTCAGACAAATTGCTTGTTAAAAACAAGATGAAAAAGCTTTTGTGAGGTATTTCTGTACATCAGACTACTAGAAGGCTTGGCATTTTACTGTGCACATAGGTATTGCTGAAGACCTTTTCATAATTCATACAGGCACTTGGTAGATTATATATGCAAATGCAATAAGGATTTCCTCTGGCTTCTTGAGCAACAACATAGTCAACATTTGTAGTTTATTTGATTTTTGATCTTCAAAAAATGTTTTTGTCTCTAGACTTGTGGTATTTGCAGTTTCTAAAAGTTTCAAGTTTTTAAATTATTTTCATTTCTTCTCTACTATAACAGAGGCATTTTTATTTTTCCATGGTGAAGGAATGTTGATTACACAAGCTTCAGATTTGTGTGCAGTTACAGGAGAGTTTCTCTGCCTGGCTCAGCACTCTGGGCAACATGTTTTATGTGGCGATCACTTGCCGAGGGCTTCATGGCGTGAAAGCCATGGTTTCTGCCATTGGTCACCTGAAGTGAGGCCCCCTTGAAGTCAAATCAGAGTATTATAATTCACTGCTCTTCTTTTGGAAATGACATGGCTCTTTAGAGATCGTTAGTGTTTGCAGCTGGTAGGGTTGTTTTCTGTTTTTCTTGTGAAGTGTTTTGATGAGGTTAGGAAGACTCATTTCCTTCCCATGCTCAGCGTGCCCTTACTTTCGGTTGCTGTTGTAGGCAGCTCCCGAGTGGACCCTGTGGGCTCCTTTGTCCCGACCAACACCAAGCAGGCCCTGTCCAACATGCTGCAGCGTCGGTCAGGCGCCATGCTGCAGCCGCCCTCGCTGCACGCCCTGTCGTCACAGCAGCAGCTGATCCAGATGAAGCTTCTGCAGCAGCAGCAGCAGCAGCAGCAGCAACGGCTCCTCAGGCAGGCCCAGGCCCGGCCCTTCCAGCAGGTTTGTTGTCATGCCCAGCACGGGGGCCTCTGCTGCTTGTCCCCGAATCCTCGTGTGGGTGGAGGTATATCTCTTTGTACGGGCTTATAAGTGCTTTTCCTCCTTTGTATTTTATTACCCTTGATCAAAGAAGTCAAATTACCTTAGGTTGATTAAGAGTTTCAAAGTAAAAAGAAGTGCTAATGGTTTTGTAGTCATTAGAGGAAGACAGAGTTTTTATCCTCCAAGTGTCCATTCCGTACTGTAGTCACCCCATGCTGTGTTCCTTTGAGCTCTATGTTCATGTGTTATTTTCAGATTTATTATTTTGAGGCTGTTTATCTGAAGCCCTACCATGGGTTTTTCTCCTTCATTGCCTTGCCTGCTGTTTTTAGTGTGTACTTAATAAGGTCTATAGCAGACAGTAAATTACAGACAGCAGTCAGTATTGGAACTCTTGATTTGTAATATTTCTGTTTTTACCATGTTAACCTAATTTTATTTTTAGACAGTGATTATGTTTAACAAAACATTGGTGAACGTTTTATGTTAAGTCTATTTAGCATACACTCATGAAACCTATGAACCTATGTAAGTGCATTTAAGTAAGAAGAGTGAGGAGAGATTGTGACTTTTCGTTCCTAAATACTCTCTTCTATGTTTTAGCTTTTCTAGAATGGGCATGCACTATTAGGACAACAGTAGCTAACACCAATAGAGCACTTACTAGGTGCCAGAACACTTCCACGCCCTTGCAGCATCTTAGTTACCTGATATCCCGAGACAGCCCTGTGATGAACTAGGCACTTTGTGATCCCCAGATGTAGGAGCCAGTCTGTAAAAGTGCCCTCTTCTAAGGAAACCCACAAAGCTGCTAACTGACTGGACTTATCTCCCCTGTGTAACTCCTGGCATTTCTGTATCTGGGCCATTTAGTTGATTTGGGGGCATGGAGATGGAGAGACTAGTCATTCATTGTTAAAAGTATTTGTTTGTTTGTTTTTACCTCAGTGATAAGGTGGGTGACAGCTTCATAGCCAGGCATCTGTCTCTCCTGACCTCTAGCCATCACTTTAAGATCCTGGCATCAGGTAGAGTGGGCATGAGTTGCTTCTTCCATAGAAATGACAAGATTTTGATTAAAATATTTGAAATCATCAGTTTTGCTTAAATAAACATGTTTGGAGCCATTTAAAATACCTGGGGTTTTAGTGCTTAGGGATGAGTTAAAAAAGCCATTGCTTCAAATCTTCATTTAGATAAATAGAAAAATTACTAGAAGTCAATAAACCATCCCACTAAAATGATCTTAGTTCCCTCTTAAAGTAACAAGGTCTAAATAAAATCTGCCTCATTTTTCATATCTACACCTTTATATCACAAAGTATGATTTATGGCCCATTGTCAAACCGCTACAGCTGCATTCAGCTTTGAGTTTCCGAAAGTGGCTCCTTGCAAGTAAATATGCCTGTCTTGAAAAGGCTCACTTTCTAGTGCCCATGCCAAACAGTCCCACTGAAAACAGGGTTAGACGGCATCCTAGATGCAGTCAGAGACATCCTTGCATGTCACAGGGGCAGGGTCATGACCTGCAGTGTGTAACATGCCCAGGGATGCCCCTTCCCCAGGCTTCCTTTGAACCCTTGGGCATCTGCACTCTGGGCTACAGTCATACTCTTGGATCCTTCATCTCCCACACTCATGAGTTTCTGCAGAAATGTTAACGCCTCCCCTATCTCCCAATGGATAATGTTCAAGTTATTGGTGTATACCTGAAAGCTAGCCAAATATGTGTCATGGCAGGAAAAAAATCTTCTTTTAATAATCCTTTAAAATCTAAAGTTAGAATGATGTGGAATGTAGGTGAAATTGAGAAATTTTTACACTGTGTGATGCTAGGCACAGTAGTTGCCTTTCTCAGTACTGACCAAAGGAAGAGGTTATCAGGAGTCTTAAGTTGTGACCCAAGAAAATGACTTCATTTTGTGCCTTGATTTCTGCTGTTGCTTTATCCGGATTTGTCTCTTTCAGTGCACAGAACCATTTTGTCCTTGTTTGAAACAATCAAGGCCAGACTGTTTAAGAATACAAAGGAAATTAGACAAAAGATATGTTTAGCTTGAATTGATTGAGAGTAATTTGGAAGAAAGAAGTTGGTTATAAGCTATAGGTAATGAACCATAGGGAACTTTCAGGGCAGTGCAGAAAGAGATCTGACAGAGGTCAGATCTGTGCCCTATCACAGATTCTGGTAACTTACAATAGCTGAGTAGGTCATTGGCACGGGGCAGGCGTCATCATTGTGTGACTGAATGAAGAAGGAGAAATGAGTCTGAGCCTTGCAGAGTTGCAGCTTCTTGGCAGAATTGCGCTTGCGGCTCCTTGCAAAGGTCCTGCGGATTGGGGAGGCCTACTAAAGTTGGGCCACCACCCTGGGCTCAGTGTTGGCCTCAGATCCTAGGATACATTACCATGATCTCTCTTCCCTCTCCCTCTCTGAGTCTCTAATGGTATACTTCAAGAACACAGGCAAGATGTGTCTACCTCATCTAGCTTCACTCAGCAACAACACTCTGCTATCTTTGCTATAGATCACTTTGCAAAGGCAAAAAATTACAGACACAGTTGAGGACCTTTGTGTCTCCTCTCATTTTCCTTCCTTCCTACAGAGAAAAGTCACTGTGTGAATGCAATGCCTTCCTTCCTTCTGAATGTTTTCATACTTTAACTACACACTTTGCACCCATGGACATAAACAAACTGTACCATGTTATTGTACAAATTTGAAATGTTATGTAAATGGCATCATACATGTTTTCTTTGTTGTTTTGCAACCTATTGTTTGCAGGATGGTTTTTGAGTTGCATCCCTTTGTTACACATCATTTTGCTCATCCATCCTGTTAGATGCCATTCCATTGTGATTTTAAAATCATTTACCCATTCCAGTTATTTCTTATCGTTAACAAATGCCACCACAAACATTTTTCTCCATTTTCTTCTGCACACGGGACTTTTGGAGTGTGTACCAGAGAGTAGAAATGCTGCAGTTTCCACAGTGGTGACGACTCCCTCAGGAGTTAAAGAGCACCCCCTCCTTCATATCCTCCCCTATCCTCCATATTGAGAGACCTCATTTTTCCTATTCCTAGCAGGTAAAATGCCATTGTATTGAATTGGCGTTTTAATATTCATTGTCCTGACTACCTGTGAGTTTGGGCAGCTTTTACTACTTTACTGTTCAGGTTTGCCCTAATGTAAACTTGTAGATTGTATCAATTGAGCATTTTTCAAATGGCATTCTTACTTGTTAAAGGTAGGAAAAATAGTGTATCGAAACAAATCTTGAGTTTTGAGAATTATCTTTAATTCATTTACTCAGAGAGTGACTTAGATACATCTCAATGACAGACATGATGGAGGAGAAAACCAGTGGGCTAGTAGAAATGCTCTAGTCAGTCACTGTGCTCCTTGGTAGAAAATGTCTGCAGTTGCTTGTTACTTAGTATCTGGCATCTGTTTACCTTAGTGAGGAGGAAGCTATCTTTCTCATTCCCTGAGTTATGATTAAGCAAATTCAGTTCTCTATAGGATAGTGTACATTGCTTGATTTTTGTGAGAGAAGGCAAAAGATTGGGGTGGCGGGGCAAGAAAATAAACCATTAATTTGAAGGTGTCTGTTGAAACTAGACCAAAACTGCAGTGATTTATGTACCTGTACCTAAAATGGTGATACTATTTGCTTAAGAAATTCCTCCCATCTATCCTAAACCTCAGTATAGTAAAACACGTTTTCTGAGGGTCCTTTGCTTCTTGTCTGTCTCTAGAACTCAGGGAAATTTTTAATATTTTAGTCATAATAATCCCTTGGAAACCAATTTTTTTTAAATGACTAGACAGGCTGGGGTGTGGCCCTGAGTTCAAAGCCCAGAACTACCAAAAATAAATAAATAAATAAAATAGAGAAAAGAAAAGAAAAGGGGATGAAATCATTTCTCTGAAAGCAGTTTTTCTGGGGCATTCAACTGCTCTCTCATAGATCAGAATCCCTGCTAGGGTGCACAGTGATGGTGCTGTGTTGCACTGAGTGCCTATGTGCTGTCGGCTGTGCTGATGGAAGGGGTGTTTTCTTTCTGCTTGCCTTTACTGGGCCTGCAGCTCTCCAGTGATATCCTCCCACCACATGTGACCAACTCACTTTCCCCAAGTCCCATCTCCTAATGTTACCCAGTGGTCCTGAGCCCTGCCTGGACCTCGCTGGGAAGGAGGCAGGTGCTCACACTGCATTCCACTTTCCTTACGTGGAGGAAGTCTTGGTGTTGGAGGTCTTCCCTGCTTCCTTTACATCGCCATCTCACCTTTGGGTGTGCTTTGCTGTTGTATGATTATTACTGTGTTTGTCCATGTCCACGTCTGTAGCAAGGTCATTGCATATAAAATAATAAAATGTTGATTCCCTCAAGCACTGTTTTAAAATGAAATATTTTGTATGTATTTTGGCTACCTGCATCATCAGGCTGAAAAATCTTATCTGTGTTGTCTGCCATTTTCTTGCTGTCCCCTTTCTGTAGGACTTCTGTAACTCTGCTGTCTCCCTTCTGGAAGACTTTGACAACATAATGGTAACACCCCTGCTGTCATTCCTTTTTCTTTCTTCCTTTTTTTTTTTTAAAGTAAATTTTTATAGCATTACCCCTCTCTACATCAAAATGAGAAGCAGGCTTTTCTTCTATAGCTGGTAATAATTACAGTCTTCATTTCTCTGTTACTTGGCTTATGTTTGAGACTGTAATGCAGAACCATGAATGCTTTGACCATGTTCCATTTAGTGGGATTTATTTCTCAAAATTTCCTGCTGTGATCACCTCATGATTTTCATCATACATGTGTTTGGCTCCCGGGAGCTTAGGCTAGTTCCTGCATCTTCATCTCGGTCCCAGTCTGAACTGTCTCTTCCTGAGCTCCTGCTTCTCTCTGCAGTAACTGATGTCACTGTGGAGGAGTGCATGGCATGCTGGTTTA